ACGACCGCTGCATGGCTCCTGCGCTGGGGTCTGGTCAGCGAGTGAGCACACAGGTGCGGCCCCTCCCTTAAGAAGCCTTACTTCCTGGAGGGGAAGATGGGTGATGAGTCGGCAGATAAATGAGGTCCTTTCATCTTGTGGTAAAGCTATAAAGTTAGAGTGGGAAATCAGAAGGGGTGTGTGTGTGTGTGTGTGTGTGTGTGTGTGTGTGTGTCTGTCCATCCATAAAGGAAAACTGTGAAGTCGTCACCAAGCCTGGTAGTGTCCAAATAATGGTAAAGAATAAACGGCTGTTTTAATCAAAACCAGTATCAATTGCAGTTTATTTGCTGACACAGGTCACTTTTGCACAGTGACAGGTAGACCTCCGCCCCCTCCCAGCGGGCGCATTCCGAGTTTCCGGCCGGGCTTGGGGTGTGTGCTCGCAGGAGAGGCAGCCGCCGTGCGCCGTGCGGGAGGAGACAGGCAGCGGTGGTTTGGGGAGCGGCTGTGCTTGCCACTCCTGAGCATCGGCCCCAGCCAGCGTGGTCTCTAGCGTGCCGTGGGCTCAGTAAGACGGGAAAGGATGTCCTCCTAAACCGTGGGCTTCTGCCTCTCGTCGTGGGGAACCCCGCGAAGAACTTGTGGCTCAACCTTATCCTGAAAGGGAAGGAAACGGGTTATAGCTGAGTAAGTGAGAATGGAGTTAGAATTTTAGCGACGTAAATGGAAAATAGCCGTGTGGTAGATTGGAAAGGCTCTTTAATGAAACCCACTGGAGATGGTGAAGGTGCTGCAGGACGTCGGTCCCGTGTTGTCACTGTGTGACGCTGGCTGCACTGCAGCCGCCGGCGGGGATGCTTTCGGGACACCGCAGTTCGCAAGTCTTGCTCGGGCCGCGAGACGTGTTCCTGAAAGAGCTAGAGAATAAATGTTTAAAAAAAAAAAAACACAGGAAAATCACAGAATCCTCCAGCTGTGCAGCTACATGATTCACCTCTTACCGAGCAACACCCTAAAGCGTCGGAGGAAAGGGTCCTCTCTCCTCGGAGAAGCCCAGTGAAAGGCATTCCGCTTTGCCTCTCCCTAAGTGATGCCTGAGTGTTCTTTCCTCGGGAAATGGGTCTCCTTCTCTTCACTGCCTCTCTGTATCTTTTTAAGGACAGGTCGTTACCGTTCGCTTCTCATTTAAACAGTCTCCTCTGCCAGCTTTTATAAATGAACCTACTTTCTCCCAGGAAGTAGGTTGGGAAGAGTTTGTAAGTTTTTAAGTTGTTCTCCTGTGGCCTTTTCATACAGGCTTGTCACTGGGAAGATTCTGGATTCGTCATGCACGTTATTTGGCCTTCTTGGTCTCTTATCAGCCCCTAGAGTATGTGTGTGTGGATAACCACAAAGAAATTCTTCATTCTTGGGGTTTTCCATCCGCGCATCGGCAGCCCACCGCCGCCTGCCCCAGGCCTGGCCGCGGTGACGGCATCGGAAGGTTGAGGCATGTGCCTTGTGTGTGCCGTGTGGTCGGTCCATGGCTTCTGAGGGACTTTGCCTTCCTCGCAGCCCCCACGCTCAGTGCTAACCACAGAGTGGCCTGATTCTTTTGTCATTTTTCTCATGCAGCCTTCAGATCAAGAGGGCAATAACATCATGCTTTTTCCTGCTTCGTTTCACAAGGGATTAGTGTCATCGGTGACTGCACATTAAAAATGGTTTATAATCGCTATTTTCATTTTTTTGGTTGTTTTAGAATTTTTTTACTTTTTTATTTAAATAAACAATATGGTACGTGTTACTAAGTCTTCTTAAAAATGCAAAAAAAGCACAGAGTGAAAAGCGTCCCTCCCCCTGCCCGCGCAGTCTCCAGAGGACCCGGTCTCAGCAGTTTCCTCCGTCCTTTCCGAAATACTTCGAGCATAGCGTATTTTGTTCTCCTCTTAGACAGATCCTCGCACACTGTGAACTCTGTTTTGCACTTTGCTCTCACTTCAGGACAGCTTGTCTTGGGAGCATTTGCAAAGTCAGACACCAAGAGCTGCCCCATTTTGGCGGCCGTGTAGAACTTCCACAATGGATGAACCAGCCCCTGCTGACGAACGGTGACCTCCCCACCAGAGTAGACGGTCCTGTAGAGAAGGACCTCGAGCACACGCCGCTGTGTTTCCTTCATCCCGCAAATAGTTGCCGAGAGGCCACTCGGTGCCAGGCCGTGTTCTAAGTTCTGGAAATGCACCAGTGAGCGTGCAGACCTTGCTCTCAAAGAGCTTGCGGTCACACTGGCGCACAGCAGCCCAGTAAGGAAACACATACATACATGAAGGGCTAAGGACGGTAAGGATTTTGAAGGAAACTAATGCCTCCATGAGCAAGGAGAGGTCGGCACTGGCTTGGTTAGTGGGGGGGGGGGGGGGGCGGACACCACCTCACTCACCCACCATCCACAGAAAGGCCCGAGGCACACAGCCTGGCAGGACGCAAGGGCTCGTCTCCCAGGAACGAGACTGCGGGGGACCCAGAGCAAAATGTTACCTCGTCTCTCCATCGAGGGCAGAGGACGAGTCCTGTTGGGCTTTATTTTCCCATCTTTTATCCAAGAACAGTGTTTTTCAACATCATCATCATCATCATCATTATTATTACTACCTGCAAGCCCCCAACCCAAGGGGCCTGTTGAAAGACGTTTTCTTCCTAATCATTTGCCCCGTGAAGAAGTTTCAGCACCATAGGTGCTGATTCTCTGTATCAGTGTATGTCCTGTGGCCCCTTGGGAAGCCACAGAGCATCATCCTACCTATGATTCTTTCTCAACTCTCAACGCACTCCCTGAGAATCAGTGTCCTGGGCAGGTGGGTGTGGACTGAATCTGCGGCCTCTCACTGCTGGCCAGCCTGCCGGCCAGCTTTCTCTGTACAGGTGGTGGTGAAACTGCATGGATAGAATTGTCTCGGTAAGAACCTCTTGGTCTGTGAAATGAGAAAGAGTTGGTTGTTTCTGACCCAGCCCGTCTGGTGGCTTGCACTGAAAGACTTACTCGTGCGTGCAGTGGGGGAGCAGGGAGGGCAGGGGCGTGGGGTGACCTGCAGAGAGCAGGAAGCCTGGACGAGAGGCACAGGAGAAGCTTCGGGAGGAGAGGGGCCAAAGGAAGGCCTCCCTGCCCGGCCCCTCTCTGCTCCCACATTGCCCTTCTCATGTTTAACGTCCACGTGATCTTACAAATAAGCAGGAATCCAGCACTTCTCACGTGCATTAACTCATTCGGTGCGGACTCCAGCCAGCGGGGTCTGCGGTGGGTGCTACAAACAGATTCACACGGACTGCAGAAGTAGGGCGGAGGAAAGGGACAGCATGGCCACTCTCTGAGTGAGAGAGTGCCCTGACCCTTGCCTGGACAGGCTTTTATTGCCTTTCCTGGAGCTTTATATCAAGGAAGGTCCTCACTCATTATGCACAGGTTTGCTTTAGGTGATTACCTTTTACAGATTACAAAGAAAAGGATGTTGCTGATTACTTCATACTGATAACAAAGAAAGGATGTTGCAAATGCCAGGGAAAAATGGGTTGAACTGGTTACATTCTGTCCTTGGGAGGTTTAGCACAGACTTTGGGAAGTTACTTCAAAGATATGCATTAAACATTTGCTGTCTTAACTCGGAGTGAGGGCATTTTAGCAAAAGCAAGCCTCAAAGCAGCCTAGATACAATGCGGGCCTGGTTCCCCATGGGACAGCCAGTCTGTGGGCATGGCTCCTGTGTGCCGCCTGGCTGTTGTCTGAACCCGGGCTCAGCTACATTCGCCACTGCCACGTGGACCTGTTCCCTGTACTCATTCCGTCTTCACAGCAGCCGTCAGGAGAGGTTGGGATATCCTCACTTTGGAGATGTGGTTAAAAGGGTCACACACAAAGCTGGCGAGTGTCGGCGCTGGTTCTTCTCACACCACTGTCTCCCTCCGCCTCTCACACAACTCGCAATGCCACCGCGTGGTGAGGTGTTCGCTGGCACACACTGACTGCGCGTGTCCCTGGGGTGCGAGCTCTCTGAAGCCAGAAGTGGCATTTTCTTTCTTTGCTGCCCTCACTCCGGTGTAGAGGGCGTCAGAGAATGGGCACTTGGTAAATGGTGGGTGGACAGATGGGCAGACAGACGGACAGACAAATGATGCTTGTATGTAAGTAAAATTAGTTCTCCAGTAAGCGAACCCACCCACCTCTCCATCTCTGCAGGTGGCTGCAGTCTTCGTTTCAGGCTACTAGAATTGACTTCAAGATACTGCAGGTCCTCAAACAACAGCCAAGTTTGTTCGGTCAATGTTTCGCTATGATGCTGATGAGATGCTGTGGGAACTTAATTCATGTTGATATCAGTTAGCCTGCGGTGGAATTGGTTTCACTGTCTCGTGTCCCTTAAAGTCACGGAACCTACCTACGCTGTTGAGTGCGGACTTACCATACTAGTGGCCTCCTTGAAGACAAACTGCACTGTGCGCTCTTCCCAGCCCCGGGGTTGCTGACTCTCGTGCACCCCTCCCTTGGTTCCCCAGCCGCCCTCCTCTCCACTGGGCCGCAGCTTCTCCCTCTCCTCTGCAGACTCCTCCTCCTGCCATCTTAAAGTCACAGCGAGCCAGGCCGCTGGCTCAGAACCGTGAAAAACCTGCACCCCAGCGGTGGGTGCCGTCCTGAACACCTGTCTTTTTCGGGAAGTCTGGGCACTGAGGCTGCTGCCGTGAGCAGAACAGTCCAGGTTCTGCCCTCGTCCAGCTTGCGTTCTGGTCAGAGAGACTAAACCCACATATGGACAAGGCAGATGATTGTAGGTCTGATACATGCCAGAAAAGAATATAAAAAGGAAGTGGCGGGGTGGGGCCAGGGATGCCGCCCGGCCACGGCTGGGGGGGAGTCTCTCCTGCAGGTGAAGCAGGTGAGGCCCTGAAGCCCGGTGAGTGGGAAGTGCTCAGGCAGCACCGACCGGTCTCGCCGTTGCACATGTGCATTCTCTGCTAACCCTCCGGCACCTCTGCTTGTCTTGCAGCTCCAGGGTCTGAACCACAATGTGATCTTCACTTTGGATTCCTTGTTAAAGGGAGACCTGAAGGGAGTCAAAGGAGTAAGTGTGCACAATTTGATTTCCCCTGTAACTTGAAAGGATTGGTTTTGTTTGGTCTTTTGAGATCGTAGTAGTCCTTGCATTTAAAAGGCATTCTGAACCCTTTTAGCATAAAAAATATTGTTGGAAGATGATCACTGGGAAAGATTCTCCAGTTCCCATAATGTTGTTGACTGGGGAACACGGAGCAGACACTTTGAGGAAGATCGGGAGCCTGGGTGGGTGGGGCAGAGTCTGCCCCTGGGGCCGGCTCCACTTCTGGGACACCCCCTGGGGCCAGTGGGGTCCCACTTGACCCATGTGACCAGGGTACTCGCGCTTCCAACTCTCTCAGGCCTCTCGTCTGTAATGATAATAGCACGATGTGCGTGCAGGTGTCTTGTATAAACTTCCAAACATCCTGTAAAGGAAAACATTTTTGCTAAGATGTTATTTGCAAATTATTTACTTGCCTTCAAACAACAGTACATTGAATTTCAATTTCATTTTCTCTTTTCTAAGGATCTCAAGAAGCCATTCGACAAAGCCTGGAAAGATTATGAGACGAAGTTGTAAGTTGTGTTTGTGTGGTTTGGTTTTCTGTTTTTCGTTTTTGTTTTAATAATTGTGGTGAGTTTCCTAAGAAAAAGAATGACCGAGAAGAGGACAGAGCGCGTCACTTACATCTTCTGGACAACGAATCTGTCTAGTGTAGACGTGCAAGGGCTGAGAGGCTGGCCGGGCGCATCCCCGCACCGTCCCGGACTGCAACACGTTGCTTCATCGTTGTCCCGACACGGTTGTAACACCAGGCTACGGGCTGGGGTGGGAGGAGAAACGTACTGGAAAGCATTTCATAAAAATCTTGGCTGAAAACCCTATAACTATAAACATAAGAGAATAAAAAGGCATTTCCGTGGGCGGCAGTAACAGTAGAAGGAAAACACAAGCAAAAGAAAAACTCAAGATTAAATATTTTTCTCCCAAACTGCTTTTGTAATTGCTTGCGTAATAAGTGCGTTGTTGGCGTGCTGTCTTAGAAACACTTTTGTGCATGGGCAGTTATAAATGCAGCTGAGAACAAAAAGGCCCTTGACGTGGTCAGCCGATGTGGACGAATGCTGGGGGCCAGCGCATCTCTTTTCCCCGACAGTGGGCTGTGAACGCCCGTGCCTGTGACTAAGTAGTGCCCTGCCCAGAGGCGACTGCGTGCGCTTGGACCAAATAGAACTAAGTAGTTATGGAGGGGTAGGGGGCCACAGAACAGGGAGAAAAATCTTTGCTGTCGACTTGCTGTGGAACATACCTCCTCTGTAGGACAGAGGAACAATAGAACAGGATACGTGCTTTGTCAGCTAAAGGGCTGCAGCTATTGGTGGCACGACTGTATTCATCCACAAATCCGTGTGGTGTTTGTAGACCTTGGAGTGTCTGGTGGTCCGTATTGTGAATGTCACAGAACATTAAGTGTTCTAAGGTGACCCAGGTGCCACTCACAGCTCCTCTATCAAACGGTACATGACTCGTCTGTTCCCTTGTCGGTACTGTCCCCTAGAATCTGAACTTGGTGAGGACAGTGACCACGCGGTCCCTGTGTGTGGTGGTAATTGAATCTCCCAGTGCCCGTCAGAGTCGCTGGCATGTGGTTGTTACACAGGGAGTATTTAGTGAAGGAATGAAGGAATTACCTGGACCTGGAAATGTATCACAGGAATAGCGAGTTGAGTGGGTCCTGATTTGAGGACCTACCTCATTAGGAAGATTTGGGTTTTGTTTTTGGTTTTTAATGAACCTCTGACAACCAATTACTTTCCCAAGATAGGTACATCTTTCTCACTGACATATAGTTGGTACGGGAAGAAAAGAATGAAACATAACATGTATTTGATGGAGTCGGGTTCATTTGATTATGAGTTACAGAGAAAAATCAATATTTGTAAAAATATCTTTTAAAAAAAGATGATTTAAAAAAATAGCCATTGTCAATTTCAGTGGTGTATTATGATTGAATTTCTACTCTTTTTAAAATGATTGATTATTTTTAGAGAGAGGGAAAGGGAGGGAGAGAGGGAGAGCAATATCAATGTGTGGTTGCCTCTCATGCGCCCCTCAACTTGGGACCTGGCCCACAACCCAGGTGTGTGACCTGACTGGGGATCGAACCGGCGACATTTTGGTTCACAAGCCAGCACTCAGTCCACTGAGCCACACCAGCCAGGGCTGAATTTCCATTCTTAAAGTTCGATTTTTTGCTTTTTCTTAGTTGAAAAAAAAAATCTCTGTTCTTCCTTTACTTAGTTCTATATGAATCTTTTGTGAATTTTCGTCTGTTCCAACAGGTGTCCAGCACCTATTAATAATGTTTCTGTGTAGAAAATGCATGACTTGTATTATTACAGTGATTCCATATCAGTTATTAAATTCCCTGGCAGCTCCTTCCTTGCTCTCCTGGAAACATCCTGTCACAGCTTTGTAGGTCAGAGGGGGGCTGTCATCTGGGCTGCCCCCGCCCCTCGTGGAGGGGCGCCTACTTCCTCTCCCCCCCCCCCCACCACTGGGGAGTCCCTGTTTTGCCGGCACAGCCCTCCAGGGAACAACTCTAAAGGAGGTGAAATTTTCAGGCATGCCCAAAACTATCTTCATTCTGCTGATGTATAATCATAATTTTATAACCAATTTCTTACAAGGCATCGAGAGCATTACTCCATTGCAGATCATGAAAAAATCTGATGCGTCTCTGATTCCCATTTATTTCTCTACAGTGTAGAAGGGGCGGTGGTATTTTCAGGCTGGAAATGTTGAGGTCTTCTTTTCACAAAAGGTTTTTTACAAAGTGTCTTCATGGTGTGCATCCTGACCTTCTACTTGCAGTTTTTAGTTCTTCAGTTCTGAAAATTTTTTTCTTGTAATTTCTCTCTTCTGCTTTTATCTTCTCATTCTTCTAAAACTCCTCTCATGTAATATTGGACTTTCTACATTGTCCTTGTAATTCTCTTTTCTGCTCTTTGTCTATGTTGTAGTTTAGGTTATTCCTTCAGCCTTTTCTCCCCACTGTTTCAGTTAAGGCTATAATATTTTAAATTTCTAAAAGCTCTTTTTCTCAATTAGTTGGGTTTTATGTGGTTGCTGGGTTGGGTTGGGTTTTTTGTGGGGTTTTTTTACAATTTAATGGTTTCTTTTCTTGTTCCATAGATAGATTATTTTAGGTCTCTGAAGATTTGGTTACATTTTATGACATTTTTCTGCTCCCTGTTACCTCTGGCTCCTTTCACTGCCATCCCTGACATTTTTATTTTGATTTCTCACTTTCATTTTGGAGCCTTCCTTCAATTATCTTCCGATCCCTGGCTGCCTGTTCATACTTCAGAGCAAGGCTCCCAAACGTGGGTTGAAAGCTCATATCCACTGGCAGGGCTTGTCAGGAGGGCGGTGAGCTGCCTTTTTAGGTTTTAAGCTTTAGGATGTCAAGACAGCTTTTCTGTCAGGGGTGTTCTAAATGTCACATCTCCTGGCCTGTCATCTGGAGCCATGCAGTCCCCAGCCCCCGGTCTAGTGATTGCATATGGTAACTTTCTCTCCGGAAGCCACACAGGCCCGGCGGGCAAGGAGCCTATCATTTGGGGTGCAGACTCCCTCTTTTCCTGCCTGCTGTTCCCACCATTTGTAGAATTCTCTCCTCCCTTTTTGTCTCCAATTCTTGCCTTTGGAACATGACACTTTTCTAATGGCTTTCCTGTCGTGTTAGCGGGATTGCCGAACAGAGGAGGAATAAACACGGGTGATCGAGCCACCATGTTGACTCGGAGGTCTGTCATTGCTCTGAAGTGACGCTTGCCCCTCATGGTTCTTCTCCAGTGTTGATGGCTTCTTGCTGCTCCTCCCACCCACGCCAGTGGGGAGGGAGCCGAGGTTTATTTTCCGTCTGGCAAAGTCCTGCCGTCCCTCCTGCGTGACGGCCGAGGCGGCAGGGTGGAAGACTTGCTTCGGGGCAGCGTGCAGGTATCAGTGTGGACCCCAGCCTCGACTATAACGGCTTTCCCTCTGATCGGGTCGGTGGGGCGGTTTTCCACTGTTTGTGTTTTGCGTGCAGGCCTGGAGCTTAGCTTTCGCTGGGGCTGGCTCTCCAACACCACAATTTAAAGGAAGACTTGAAGGCTAAGTCACTTAGTCTCTGTGGTCACAGCTGGAAATTACAGGCTGCTTCTGAAATCAGAAGTCTGTTTTCAAGCTAAATGGGTTTTTGGAAAGAGGACTGTGACCCTTGGCGTTACTACCAGAGTATCCGCTGCCATAGCTGAGCATTAGCCTCGGGTGCTGTAGGTGTCATTAGTGTGGGACCTCTTCTTTCTTACCATTCTGGGCGCCTCCCCCTGAAGGAGGGTTCATAGATTCCAAATGAGAGATTTGGATTCCTCCCAGTCCTCCTTTTGTACAGTCTAGTGCTGGCGGTTGGATGATTAAAATGTGTTACTGGGATATGGAAGCAGCCCAAGTTTACAGGAATATTGGCAGTTGCCTTTGACTAATTTCCGTGCATCCCCACAAAGACCTGTTACGTACTTCGTCTTGAAATAATTCTAAGTCATCTGTTGAAAATCAGAATATGCCTCAGTTCTTTAACTCTCTGATTCTTTTCATCATAAAGCATTTCCCCGAGAAAAAGTAAACTGTCAGAATTTCTTTGTGCCAACCAACATGTAAGCATTCGCGTAAATCCATTCTGTGCGAGATCAAAGTTAAATGTGAGAAGCTTTCTAGGTGGAAATCCAGTCAGTGTGTTTGTTCTCTTTGAACTTGGACTTCTGCTGCTGATTGCTGTTGCCAGCTCACCAGCGCCTGCGCCTTACCTCCAGTAACTAAGGAATAATCGAGTGGTTCTCGCTGAAGGAAAGACGTACGTGTGTGTGTGTGTTAATGGCGATGTCTGCTCTAATCACAGTACAAAAATCGAGAAGGAGAAGAGGGAGCACGCGAAGCAGCACGGCATGATCCGCACGGAGATCACCGGGGCCGAGATCGCCGAGGAGATGGAGAAGGAGCGGCGCCTCTTCCAGCTGCAGATGTGTGAGGTGAGAGCGGCCTCGCCCGCCGTCCGCCTGGAGTCGCGTGAACTCGGGCCCCTCCCGCGGGTCGGTGGTGTTCGCGCTTCAGAGCAGACTGTGTGTGATTGGGAGAGGAGGGGACTCTCACTAAAGGATTCCAATCTCGTTTTTCTCCAAGCCTTTGGGATCATCCATGTCACTGTTGTCTCATGTTTTGAGCCTGGGGCCTATGGGGCTCTTTAAGCCCAAACAGGATTCTTTGGTGAGAACTTCAATGTTGCTTGTAAATGAGTGTGGGGGGCGGGGGGGGGGGGGAATGTTGGCGAGAGGTAACCCTGGTGAATGTTAGGTTTTCCTGGGACAGGTTTAGAGCATGTTTGTTTGTTTGTTTGTTTGTTTGTAACCACGTGTCCAGTTTGAGCGAAAGCTTGAACGAAGTGGTCGTTGAGAAAGTCCAGGGCTCGTGGGGAAAATGCAGTGGGCAGCACGCTGCCTCCGACGGAGAGCGGTGGTTCTCACACTGTGTTCTCATCGCACACCCGCGCCGGGACCTAGAGACCGGCCCCTGCGGACACTGCTTTAAGTTTTTCCTCCTTAATTTTGTCTCCATCGCCCTCTCCCCTGCCCATGAACTTTTGCCTCTTTCTAGAACTGGTCTGCCTGTGCACACTGCCCCACAACAACACAAGAGCCAGCAGTGTCAACACACAAACAGTAGAAACCGGGGCCAGTTGTCAGAATCAGAGCCCATGGTGTTTACTGCACAAAGCAATACTGTGTTGTTTTTATTCTTCTATTTTCAGTAGCAGAAATTCTTTCTACTTCAGCTCTGGGGTCTAAATGTTTTAATACCTGCCCTGGCTGGTGTGGCTCAGTAGATCGAATGCGAGCCTGTGAACTGAAAGGTCGCAGGTTTGATTCCCGGTCAGGACACACACCTGGGCTGCCGGCCAGGTCCCCGGTTGGGGGTGTGCAAGAGGACAGACAGTTGATGTTTCTCTCCCACATCGATGTTTCTCTCCCTATCTTTCTCCTTCTCCTCCCCTTTCTCTGAAAATAAATAAGGAAAATCTTTAAAAAATAAAAATTTTAATACCTTCCAGCATATTCCTTAGAGAGAATGCTCTTTCTCTTGTTTTCTGCAAAGAATGAACCATCTTTCAGGCCTTAACCACGTGAACTCTAAGTCTGAGAGCCCCTGCAGCAGAGGAGATAAATTAATTTTATCCAGAATGCTTTGCTGTGTTTGATTTCCGGTTGTCTAACAAACTAACGTCGAGCATTTGTAAACACTAACACCCTGACAACTGGTTCAGTGCGCCTGCGCCTGTGCCCGATCATCGGCATTCCCTAGATCACGCTCGCCCTGTCTGGAGACAGCCGAGGCCCAGTGACGGTGCAGGTCACGATCGGGGGTCTGCCACCCCAGACCGTGACTGAGGAGCCCTGTCTGTAATGACCGACACCCAGTTCTGTCTCCTTTCCACAGTATCTCATCAAAGTTAATGAAATCAAGACCAAAAAGGGCGTGGATCTGCTGCAGAACCTGATAAAGTATTATCACGCACAGTGCAAGTAAGTAGACCGTTGTCGTCTAATTAAGAGCTCAAGTAAGGACCCTTCACTTCGGCCCCCTGCCTGCCTTCTCTCTGGCCTTCATTTGGCCACTGGCGGTGGTAGAATGGCCTTCCACAGCCAAGTGGTAAGAAGTAGCATTGTCTTCCGTAGTCATGGTTTCCTGTACATCAGTGACTCGCGTTAGTGCAGCCACTTGGCTACGTGAAACTGTGACGTTCCTTAGAAAGGCCAGCGTTGGCCCGGAGCCCTTATCACAGACACGTGTGTCCCTGTGACCAGAGAGGCCTTCCTGGTGACCCTCTCCCCCTCCCCGCTGCCTCGGTAACTCACCTAGTATTGGGTCATTTGTATCACACATTCCTGCTTGGGATTTTGTTATTTTTTTTTATCGTCTAAATTAAGTGAAGTTGTTAATTCGGACATTAAGAGGACTCTGCATTTATACCTGAATTGCTGGTATATTTTGTGAGATACCCACGGTTCTGCCCCAGCCCCATTTCAGTTTGCTCACATGGCCAGGCCACTTTCTGACGATGTTCGTGGTTTGTGGCACCGCACTTGCTTGTTCACTTCTTGCTGACCCCGCGGGCTAGCGTTTGTGGGGTTTCTGGCAGAGGCGTGATGTGCAAGTCGCGCAGGGGCCTTGGGAAGCCGTGCAGGCAGCTCTCACGTTTGTGAGTGGAGTAATGTGAAAGTCATTCATTAGGGCTAGACAGGATACCTACTCCCCGAAGTGTTCACGTTTATGATTTCCTTTGGTAAGCTCACTTAATCCTTTTACTGGTGTTACACGCAGGAAGATCTTTGCGTTCAAGAGAAACATTCAAGGAGGTCAGCACTAACAGGACGGGAAACGCACGAGGCCTGAGTCAGACAGATAGTTGGGTTCGGATCCCGGCTCTGCAGCTAGGCAGCCATGTGACCTTTATCAGGTGCTTCTCTAAACCTCAGTATCCGCATCTGTCAAATGGGGTTAAGGTTCGTAGACCTTCCTCAGGTTTGGGAGGATGCGCAAATTGCACGAGATAAGACACGTAGGAATGCTCAGCCCAGTGCTTGCTACGTGAGTGTGTCTGCTGCTGAGATGATTCAGAGTGGCTAAAAATCATTCACAGACTTCGTAAGACAGGGTTGAGTCCCTTCCCGTGAAGCTTTTTAATCATCAAATTAGTATGTATATGAAATGATTTAACTTTTTTCCTCTTTCAAAGTAAATTCCACCTTGTATAAATGTGTTCCAGATATAAAAGATAATGCATTGCAGTGGAAACAATTTCATGTTTATAAGATAAGTTTGCCTCTGACAGCCCCATGCTGAAGACCTGGGCTAACCTTAGGCTTCCTAGTATGGGGGGCAGGGGGGCGGTGTTGTTGAAACTTGAAATGTGTGTGGTGGTCCCTGATTTTAGTTTAGGGAGAAGGTTTTCATCTTCCCTCAATTTTAGTTTTCCTAGAAACATATTATTGCTTTGAAACGTTTACAGAAATACGTGAATTTCTTAGTCTTCTGAATTATAATGCTTTGGCAGCAAATCTGATTTCAGTTGATTTTAGAAATCTCTTGATCTCAAATTCTCAGTCCACAGAGGAGGGTTTAACCTACACAAACAAGTTTCCCAAAATGTAAGATGGTTGGATGGGGGTGTGTGTGTGTGTGTGTGTGTGTGTGTGTGTGTATGCCTTTGTTAATAAATGTGGAAGAAAAAGAGCAACTCCACCCTACTTGGCTAACTCGCCTTCTCTTTATTCTTGACTTTTCCCTTACCACAAATAATTTACTAATCTCTTAACAAAAGCCAGGTACTTTGCCAGGTTCTGGGGTAGAGAGGAAACAAAGCCTCTGCCCTCGGGAGTGAATACCTGGAACAGGAAGTAAGTCGGGTTCATCACTGATCATAACGGAGCTAGGAAGTGACTGATAACAAGGGGTGTTAAAAGAAGGAGAGACCTGGGGCCACAGAGACTAAGGAAGGCTCCTTGAAGGAGGCGGTGGCACGTGGGATTGGACTCGGACCCCAGGGCGAGAGGTGTCAGTGGAAGGCAGCCCCGCACAGTGGAAACCCCCTGCGGGTAGAGGTGCTCTAAGCCATCCAGCAGCACAACTGGGTTATAATGAGAGTCAGCCTCGGCCAGCCCCCATTGAACCCCGAGAACTTCATCACAGCGGGAAGCCAGTGTTGTTTTCCTTTGGGGACCACTGTTGCCCTTTCCCGCTTCCGTCAAGCCCTCCCACGCGTCACAGACATCCAGCGGGCCTGTGAAGCATCCACTGAGATTGAGAAGAGAGAGACTCCTATTCTGAGTCCTCATTCCTGTCCCCAGAAGGACTTCCGGTCCAAAGTCAGGCAGCGCTCCAGGGCAGATGTGCTCCGCCAATCCCTCGTGGAGTGGAGTCGCGGCACCTCGGCGGGGACGCGGCAGCCAGAATGGGGGAAAAGAGGGAGCAGGAAAGAAGAGCTTTTGACTTTTCGTTACCCATTGTGGCTCACCCACACCAATTACTCTTCACTTTCAGTAACATGCTGCTTTCAAAACAAACACATCACCCTAGTGTTCACCCACTCCTCCACCACCTCGCAAGTATCATTATGCTCTGCAGAGTGAAGAGCACTTACAAACAGTGTTTTCCTTCATTTTACGGATGATAATAGTTAACATTTATCAAGAGCAATCAGGAAATTGTAGCTCAGAAAGGATGAGTAGTTTGAGCAAAGCCATGCCATTCATTTTATAGGTGTGCAATAAAAATGTGTCAGAACAGACAAAGCCCGAGAAACCAAAGGGAAATAAATAGATGATAGATAGATAGATAGATAGATAGATAGATAGATAGATAGATAGATAGGGCTTCAGTCTAAAGCTTCTGTGAGTGAATGAACAATCCACAAAATGGGAGAAAATGTGGAAATCATTTATCTTACCATATAGAGATTTAGTGTCCAGAATGTATAAGAGACTTTTACAACTCAACAACAAAAAGATAAGCAACCCAGTTTTAAAATGAGCTAAGATTTTGACTAGCTATTTCTCAAATATATATATATACACACACACACACACAAATGGCCAAAAAGCTCGTGAACCAAAATGGTCAACGTTAGTCATTAGGTAAATGCAAAGCAGAACCACAATTGAGTAACCACTTCACACCCACCAGGATGGCTATAATGAAAAGCAACGATGACAGCATAACAGACAATTAGTATGGGTGAGAATGCGGAGACTTCTGGCCAAGATGGTGGCGCAGGTAAACACAGTACTCGCCTACTCCCGCAGCCACGCAGAATGACAACTGAACTACAGGACCACGATCATTCAGAACGGCCTGAAATCTGAGTGGGGAAGTCCTGCAACTAGGGAATAAAAGAAGCCACATCAAGACAGGTAGTAGGGACAGAAGTGGGGGACAGGCTGGTCCCACCCACACGTGTGTTAGACAGAAATCAGGACCGCCGTCCCGGCGACAGAAGTCCCCCCTGAGGAGCAAGGGATCCCGGCTCCTTTGGGTTTTTTCTCAGTCTTTTAGTTGGTAGGAGTTTTCCCCCCTGTGCTTGTTTTAACCACTAAAAAATAACTATTTTTTTCAATGCCCCCCACAGACTAAAACAGTGACCTTTTTCTCCTTAAAATATATGTTTTATAACATTTCTTGTATGCTGTTTAAATATCAGTTTGTCTATTCTTTATGTCCAATAGAATTTTCTGCAAGGATGAAAATGTAGGTGTTTTTTGCTGTGTAACATGGTGCCCACAAGCCGCACGTCAACTGAACTGAATTTTAAATTTATTTAAATTAATTGCATATGACCAGTGGCAAACATTATATTGGGAAACAGATCTAGAGCATTCTCATTTAAACTCCCTTTAAAAAAAAAAAAGAAAGTGACTAAATTCCCTTCATGCTGAAAGTGAAAATGAAACACCCTTGCAAAAATATCTTCAAAGAATCTCTCTCCCTCTGGGAAGGAAATCAGTCCTCGTATAATAAACGTATGCAGCCTCGGCGAAGAAAACCAACGTTACCCGAGCACGTCCCCACCACGCAGCACTCTGCTGAGTGGTTTCACGTGTGTCAGCTGTGCTGCTCGCCCCCTTGGATACAGAAGCCACGTGACTTGCCTGGGTCCTGGCCTCCAGCCCCGGACCACCCAGCCCTTCCTTTTCCTGGTGTAAGAGGTGCCCTGACAGTGTCCGTCTAACGCTGAAGTGCCCCGCCTTCCGGCCTTTCCCCAGAAGTTACTGGAGTGCAGTGTGAGACAACAGTTGGTTTTGCTGTGATTCACTGGGCAGCCGTATTTCCCTGATTAGTAGGAGATGCTGGTTCTAAGGAGGGTGTGTTCTGCCTCCGGGGTGGGTGACCATGTGAGACACCTGTGACAGGCTCAGGGATGGCCTGCTCCACGCAGAGCCTCGCCAGCTGCGGTAGGGCTGGTACCTAGGCCCGGACACAAGCTTAAAGATGCCGACCCCTTGACTGGCAGGACTAGGGGGAGCTGCCTGGGGAGGTTGCAGATGAGCGGAGCGGCAAGATGATGGCAAGATGGCGAGGGAGTCTGGCAGGGAACACGGCGGGAAAGGGCGTTTCAGCCGAAGGGAGCAGCACGTAAGTGCAAAGGCCAGGAGAGCGACCAGAACCAGTGCGGCACGGCTAGAGCCCAGAGTTCTTAAGGGAAGTGGTGGGAGGTAAAACCGGAAAGGTATTCGGGGCCAGAACACACAATGAAGGTTACCCAGTCCTGCACCAGGTTTAATTTGCGTCCCCACAGGCGACGATGAAAGCCTGGATATCAGGAGACAAGGGTTTAAGTGTGGATTCCCAGTTCCATGATTCACCAAAAAGCCCTCTCTTCTCTCATCCCTGTCGCTGAACACCTTTCTCAAGGTAGCGTTTCTCTTCCTCATAAGGGTTCTCTGCCGAAGACGTGACTCTTAAAGAATTTGCGAACTTGAGGGTTTCAGTAATTACTCTGACGGCCAGTTCTGATACTGTTGTAGAGTTACCACCGACTGTACAAGTTAAGCTAAATAGAGGTATATGGGTCCCAGTTTGTCCCCTGAGAATTTTGGATGTGCCTCAGTCTAACCACTAACCGAGCGAGCACCTGCTCTGTGCCGGGCCCTCTGGGACGTGCACATGAGAGCCCTCGTCCTCGTGGAGCCCGTCCTTCCGTGGGGCGACGGCAGCACCGATAAGTGTGCTGAGAAACAACCTGTGGCGAGGGCCGCTTTCAGCACAGCAGGGAAAGCTCCCGGCACTGAAGCGCAGGGGCGCCCCCACCCCGAGTGGCGTGTTCAGACGGGAGATGTCTTCCCCGGGTCGGCCAGCGCGGGAGTGTCGGAATCAGAACCCAGACTCGAATCCCGTTCCTGCCACCGACTAGTGTGTGGTGTGAGCGACTCGGGCAAGCTACTACGTGCCCACTCTGTGCCTCAGTTTCCCCCTTGGAGTGGCGACGTGATTTAAGTGCTCATTAAACGCAGTAGGGTCGTTGTGAGGGGAACGTGTATTAACTCGGGTGGAGTGCCGAGCGTGCTGGCACGCGGTGAATGTTCAGCCAGTGTCGGTGCACGTTACCCATCAGGGTGAGCCAAGGCGACCCTCTCACACTCGTGGTGGGACACAGCTTTTCCAGACCCATCGGCGCCGTGCACTCGGCGTCCTGCGTTCCGCATGTGTGCTGGGGCGCAGGGACCTGCGGGGGACTGACCGAACACTGACTTGTCTCCGGCCTCTCTTTTCCGGTCCCATCCCCTCTCTCTCTCCTTCGAGCGTCCAGTCCGGTGCCAGGGCACCCCGCTGGTGAAGGCGCCCCTCCCTCTTTCTGAGTTCGAATGAGGCACAGCGAGGAGGGGCTGGTCTGTGTGTGGATGGGCCTACGTGTGACTGAGTCACAGTGTTGGGACAGCGGCTGTGACCTGCGTCCTCTGTGCGGTGCCCGCCAGCAGTAGTGCCCACACGCGTTTGTCGGCGTGTCTCTGTGAAACGCCGACGGTCGCTTTAGATGTGCTCTGTGCAGATGCGCGGCAGAGGGCACGTGTATGCGCGTGGTGGGAGTTTTCGGGTAATTGCGGCTCGTTTCTTTTTTTACACGGCTGGTAAATCTCATGTTTTCCGTCGTAGTTTCTTTCAAGATGGCTTGAAAACGGCTGATAAACTGAAACAATACATTGAGAAACTGGCTGCTGATTTATATAACGTAAGTTCTTTCTAAAAATACATGCATTGTAACTTGCTTTGTCACTAAGTACCAGTAAACGTGAAATTTGTGTTAGAAGAGTATTCACGAAAAGACGACCAGTTCAGTAATGTGTCAGAGTAAACCCAGAGAGAGACAAACCGTCCGTCTCTCCGGAGATGTCACCAGTGCCGGCATATTCCGGAGGGGGCTCCGGGAGCATGGGGGGAGTGGGAAGAAGGGTCTCGTGGCTGCTTCTGGACGACGCTCTGTCTAGGCCTCCGTGGCATCGTGGGCGGTCGACGGCGACAGGATAAAAATTAGGGGACTGTCGCCGAGTAGGCGGGTTTATGAATTTCTTTCGGCTTGCTTGTTTTATAGTTCCTCTGTTTTTCCCCTCATGTCTTGGTTTTGCTCTTATATAGCAAAATCAACAGGAAAACGTCTGAGGAAGAAAACTAAATGCAGATATATATAAACATCAACCTCGATTCCCGTAAACCACTTGGCAGTGGGTAACATTAAAAGTGTGTTTTATGAGTGCAACTGCGTGTGCTCAAACACGGTTGTAGAGTTACAATTAGTACCCTGCGTCTTCATATAACTTTAGAAAGTGTGTGGCCGTGTATTTTTTCTGATTTTCTTTCAGCAGTTAACATGCCTCTGGTTATGATTAAGTGCCACACGTTTCGAAACTGCCAACGATCCTTTGCCCTCGTGGAGGTGCTTTGTGAACCACCCCACCCCCGTGAGCCCTTCGGATTTGGTCCTTAGAGCTCTCTGGCGGCCCCCTTGTCCCATCGTGGTGCTCTCGCTGCCACCTTCTGAAAGAGCAGAACTCAATGTTACTTCTTAACTCGGTTTGGAGTGGAACCTTTGAGGTCATTATCTAGCCTCAGTGCGTTATTTAATCAGACAGTATGTTGCATTATTCGCGCACAGAACTCAGTGGTCCCTTCCTAAGGTAAGAAAAGTATACCTCTCCTATCGACAGCGAGACCATGGAAAGGATTTGAGTCAGGAAATGCGCCACGTCATTGAATTGTTTGGCGAGTGCTGTATTTGGGTGAATTAAACTGTGTTCATCAGTGTACAAGAGATGGTGACAGCAATAATTTTTTTCTCTCGTTAGATAAAACAGACACAGGATGAAGAGAAGAAACAGCTCACCGCACTCCGAGACTTAATCAAATCCTCTCTTCAACTCGATCAGAAAGAAGTAGGTGCTCTGTGTTTCCAGCAGTGCTGACCACACAGGCGGGCCCGTGGCCATGGCCTTGGTGTTGTCTCCTCTGCCAGATTGGGCACGTTGGCAGCTTCCCGCCAGGGTGGTTGTGGGGACAGATACAAGTGTGCACCCACCCCATTGCCCAGGGCGGAAGCTGTGTGTTAGTCCTCTTCCCGTCTTCTAGAAAAGGCGTCCCGAGCCCCGATCTACAGCTCCACGGCCAGACTTTTCATCCTGGCTTTGCTGATGTGTGTTTCAGGAGTGTGCGCTCCCAGACCATGGGAGAGGCAGGGACGGGCACACCCCTGTCCTCTTCGGCTCGTCTCTCTGCAGGCAGCCAAAGCCGGGGCCTGTCCCATTGTACCAGGGAAACAGAGAACTAGCCTGAGGCAGAATCCTACAGCGGCTTTGCCCATTCCCCACCCCACCACGCCCCGTCAGGAAAATGAAGGCAAAACAGTCCATGGATATTGAGATGGAGTCTAGGCAGCGTGGTAGGTGTTAGATGACCACACACAGATCCTTAATTATAAATCTCATTTGTTCAGTTGTTGTTCAGACACGTAATTAGTGCCTGCCATGTGCCAGCGCTGTGCTAGGCAGTAAGCGTTAGTCCCTCCGTGAAGGGGGTCATTACCTGGTAGAAAGTAGAGCGAGTCAGCCGTGTGAGTGAGCAGCCGTACCGAGAGTGGCGTGGATGCCGTAAGAGAGCTGTCGGGCGAGAGGAAGCCAGAAAGACTCAGGGACAGGGCTGCCCGGCCTCTTCAGCCGGCGACACTCTGGGGTAAGGTGGGTGGAAGCACAAGATGCAGTTTCTGAGGTGAAAACTCAGGCCTGACCAGGGGGCCCCTTGGATGCTCACCAAAGGGTGTGGGCTTGGTGCTGAGGGTCAAGGAAACAGTGAGGCCAACTGTTACATGGGAGAAGGTGAAAATATGCCCATTCATACTATGAAATGATTATGCATTGAGTTCAAGTGTAATATCTGAACACAGTATTTACATTTTTGATTCCTCATGATATTAACTCACCATGGCAAAGCGTGTATAAACTTCTAAAGTCGTTGAAAGGGGTTCTCAAGTCTACACGAAGCCAGGCACACCAAACAACAGAGCACACCCCTCCGGCATGGGAGGCCTGGCCCAGCAGCCCCAGGTCCTGTACAGCAGCCACGAAGGCTCCTTACCGAGTGGCTGCAGCCTTCCCCTCCACGGCTCCCAGTCGTCACACACGTGTTGGGTTTGGGACGGGAGAGAAGCCCAGCCCTTTAACACAGGTGCCTTGCTCACCTGTGGCCGGGGGCAGCCAGTTGACGGGTGCACCCACGTCACGCCATGCAGAGCCCCAGCCAGCGTCTGCCCCCGCCTCGGAGGTCTCCTCAAGGGTGCTTATCGCTGGTGCACAATCCTAGAAGTGGTCTCCTCAAAGGACTGCTCAGCGCCAGAGCAGTACTCAGACCCGGGTTGTGAGGAGGAGAGGTCGACCTGTCTGGGGAGAAATGTGCAAGGCTTTGTACTGACTGGTATATATTAACCACTTCCTACCTTTGTTTTGTCACATAGGATTACTTCCTTCCTATGAATGGACGTTTTCTTGAAAAAAAAAAAAGGAAACTATTCTAGTTCCTTTGTTTTGCATGGAGACCAGTCTGGTCTGCTCACGCTAGTAACTAAAAGACAAAGTTGCGTACAAGCCAAAGGAGTGTGTACGTGTGGAAGTGCACATGGCTTGATTGATTTTAACTTCGTGCCAAACTAATAAGTGATGAGTTTTCATGAGCACCATGTCCAGAGCATTTTACAAGTAAAGTTGATCTTTCAAAGCACGCCTTGTCCATCCTCGTGCTGTCAGTCATCCCTCATTGAAATGCACACAAGAAGGTCGTGATTTTTAATGACTTCCGTTACATGTGAAAGGAGGCTGTGGCCAGACATTTCTCACCCTTGCACTAGAATTCCAGAGGAGTGTGAAGGCATCTAAGAGTGACCCGGGAGAGCAAGGCGCCCAGGAAATCACTGAGCAGCCTCACTCACCCCCGCCAACCAGGCTCTCACTTGACTCCGTGCAAGGAAGCTTCGAGAGTTCGAGCTGTAGATTGGACCTCCAGATTTTTGGTAGACTCGTTTTTTGTTTTTTTCTTTTTATCCCCAGAACGAAACTCTCTATTGATTTGTGGCAGATATTCTGTGGGATTGATCATCTTAAGCTTTTATAATAGCCTAACCTCCCTGGACCTCTCTGCTATATAACTGTTTTTCGGATCGAAAATATTTTATTTTTAAAAGTGCTGTCCACAAATCATTGCGAAGGTCCCCGCTCTCTGTGTGTGAGTCTCTCCCAATAGCCCATTGTCCTGGGCCTGCAGTTTGTTTGGTAGGTGCTGGGTGTCATCCATCGCTGTCTTCACAGCGCCTGGCACGCTGCCGGGCACACAAGCTACCCCGCAAACATTTAGTGAGACGGAACATAGGGACGCCTGTGCCCACTCTGTTCACACCTTCCATTAGAGGCGGGAAGCGTCTCTAACTGGGGTTTAGCTGTAGATGGGGTGCCAGGAACGTTTATAACCCCATGAAATCAGTGAGTGTGTAATTGCTTGCAGTTTTAAGAGCTCTGAGATTTTTTTCTCCTTAATAATGCATTATAAGGGTTTCTAATAGGAGAGCCAGGTAATTTGTGCTGCTAATAGAGAATGGGAAACTGAACTAAAACATAATGCCATAGTTTCGTTCTGCAGCTTATAATGATTCTTGGCTCCCGCCATGGAATTTTGCCAAGGTTGGGAGTTCATTGTTGAAGTTTAGTTTTGTATTATTTTGCCTGAATGATATTTTCATTTGCATTTCTCTTTTCCTGAATGCACGTTGATTTTTATTATGCTGGCAGAGGATTCAGAACCTATTTCATTCCTTCCGTTTTGTTTTGTTTTGTTTTGTTTTTAATTATTTTAGTGTTCACGGTCCTTCAAAATTTACATTCTCAGAAAAGAAAATTCTCTTTTCACTTATCTGGAGTGCCGTGCTAAGCAAGCTGAATGACCCTTTTTTCTTAAGCTGCAGAAATGACAATTTGTGTGATTTTCTTACACCATAAACTTTATCAGTAGTTAATTTAGGATTGTTGATGTTAGACTTTTGAAATATATTGCTTCCTCCTTCCTCAATTTAATGGGGTAGTCTTGTGAGGTCACAGCCTAGAGTTCAGCCATTTTCTTTACCTTTAAAAGCATCTCTGTCTGATGGAAAGCAAAGCTTATTCGATCTATTTGGTATTTAGAATTTAGAGATTATTTAGGCTTGTAATAAATATACGTAAGGAATGTGTTACTAGTATATTTACAGAATGTAATAGTTTTGCTAAGTTATCAGCATCTAAATTCATGTTAAATATATGAGTACTTTTATTCTCAAAACCTAGAATTTATTTTAAAGGTTAACGAATGGGTTAAGGTCAGAGAAGCATCATTTTAAAGCATTGCAACAGACCAGGAATCATGTGGGCCATCGAAGAGTTTAGTTCAATGAAAAAGGTTCCAACAAAGAGAGACCTGTTTTTCACAAGAATTGCTATCCAAGGAGAGTTGTCCTTAATGTTTTGGAGGCAGAGCTGTGGCGAAGACCCCCGGGTCCAAACCCGTAGCTGAGCAATGCTGAGCCGGCTGGTTCCACTGGGCTCAGGCCGACAGCACCTGGGCGTCAGTGCCCGGCCTCGTGATTGGTCCCAGGCCTCGGCTCCCTCCAGCCCCGTCCAGTCTCCGTCCTGATTGGTCTTTGTTGCTGTTACGGACACATCGCTGCCTCCCTCAGAAAAGCCGCCTGTGTCCCCACTGTTGTTACCAGGACTGTCCCTGGAGGCCCCGGTGGAGGAAGGCTGCCCTCTGCCTGTCCCTCAGGCCTCCCTCCAGAAAGCAAGGGAGCACCTGTCGGGGGGGAGCACCTGTGGGGAGGGAGCTTGAGGTGGTCACCCTGGCGTTCAAGGCCCTGGGCCTGCTGTGTTTCAGCTGGAGGCAGTCCGGCCGGTTAAAGACAGAGATGACTCAGGTTAAGACACTGTAGCCTGTGGCCTGTGTAGCACAGACTCAGCTGCCTGGAAAGGTGCATCAGCTCTCTCAGCCTGCACAATAAGAGGGGACAGTGGGTGTCCACCTCACAGACGGTGGCGTCCCAGTCAGTGTCCCCAGTGCTTCCCGGTGCCTGGCTGGGAGGCGTTCAGGTCGTGCTATGGGGCACAGACCCCAGCGCGTGCAGAGCAGCCGTGAGGGGCCACGGTCCCGCCTGAGGGCCCCAGAGCGGCCGTGCTGCCCAGGGGCGGGCGGCACACCTGCACCGCAGACGGCCAGCGGCTCCTCGAGCGCCCTGTCTCCGCACCTTCACATCTCCAGTGTTGCTGCCAGCTGGATACTTTCATTCCCTTTGCTCAGCGAAACAGAACAAAAAGAAACTTCCTGAAATGTGTGGCTGCTTTTAGATTCTCTAAGCAATTTGCGATGGGTCTCGCCGAGGTGTCCCCTGTGCACGCACCTCGAGGCTTGTCAGCCACGTTGCCGGGCTGAGACGGGTGCCCTGTTCCTCCGTTCAGCCCCTCCTCCGTCCCCACGCAGACGACCTGAAACGGAGCCTGATCAGCACAGACGTTTCCCTGTGCGCAAGTGTGTCACGGTTCTAAATATCTGTGGGTGTGTTCGTTTTAGCATTATCTCTATGATGATATTTTCTCTGTGTTATAAAAAGTGCTTAAGTTATGAGCAATAAGACTATCAATGAAATTAACTCTGTTTTCCAATGTTCTGCCTTTTCTCTCTGTTGCTTTTGCCCTTCCTGATCGAAGTCTAGGAGAGTAAGTCGTTACTTCTTCTGAGAATGTGTTGTCCGATGTCCGTGTCTGAAGCCCCCTGTGTCCTCGAACAGCTCCCCGTGATTAGGCCACTCCCTCCACCCCACCTCCCCCCAGTGGCGACTGTGGGTCGTGCAGCCTTTCCGCACAGTGGGAGGCGCCCTGGGGTGCTGATGCCGAGTCAGGCCTCTCGGCATCTGTGTGGTTCTGTTGGTCCTTGTCGCCCTTTTCATTACGTAATACACCCGTCACGGCAATAGAATGACCATTTTGAATAGAACGCATGGTTACAGGTGTACCGTGCAGAGCACTAGTTAGTTACAAAACAAGAGTTTCATAACAGTTCTTCATACCTTACTGAGAAGGTGCACTTTGTATTGGGGGCGTTTCCTCGGAGTGCGTGAAGGGTTAAAGGGTACTTGTTTTCAGGTTGCATGAGCTTTGGTTCTGCCGTCTGCTTCAGTGTTTGCAGCCCTTCCCGTGTTTGCCAGTGTGAGCTGATTGGGAAATAGAGTAGCCTCCCCTGCGGGGTTTGATGCAGAGCTGGGCTCTGGACTAGAGATAGGAGGCCTGGACCCCGGGCCCCAGACCCCCGGTTTGCCTTGAACTTGGTTTCGACTCTGGCAATCATTTACTTGCTCAGCTTCCTCCTCTGAAATAAAGGCAAGGACCTGACCGCTCTTAGAGTTCCGTAATTCTTAACCCCATGCCCATAGCCCCCCCGCTCAGTGGCAGAACAGAGGCGGGAACTTGAGAAGTGTCCCCAGCATGCGCGTAATCTGCGGTTCACCTTTCCTAGGATTCTCAGAGCCGGCAGGCGGGATACAGCATGCACCAGCTGCAGGGCAATAAGGAGTACGGCAGCGAGAAGAAGGGGTACCTGCTGAAGAAAAGTGACGGGTACGTACAGGCCAGCCCCATGTCCCCGTGTGCCTCAGCGCACTTCCTGAGCGTTAGCCGCCTACGGACTTTCTCCCACCTCTCACGTAGGAAAGAAAGCACACTTAAAGTTTTCTAACGCACTCTCTTCATACCTTCAGTGCACAGGTTTTCCTAGGGCACGTCTGAGATTTCACCTGCTGTCTTCGTCGTTTTCTGGTCCCCGCGTGACACCTGTGAATTGTGACATACGGTGTTAGGAGGCAGGAACCGAGTAGACCGCGAAGCATGCGGGTGCCTTGCTGACCTCTTACTCACCCGCCTCTGCTTTTGTTCATTGCGGGTTTTCTCTGCCAGGGGAGCCCACCTGGTCTTGGGGTTCAGCTGTGGCTCCTCTCTTCCCTCTTACATCACAGCAGTTCAACAACAGCCCCTTCCGTTTCTAACAAGAGATCATGTGTTTCTTGCCATCTGCTGTCCTGCTCCAGGCTAAGTCACCTCCCTCTGTCCTGGACTACCTTGGGGGCCTCCTACCGGGTCTCTCCGGGCCTGCCACTCACTTGCCCCTTCTCCCGTTCGTTGCTACACCGCACTCGGCGTAGCCTTCTAAGAACGTCAAGCACGGCAGGTCGCTCCCTCCTTGGAGTGCTCAGCCGCTTCCCATCGCCTGGAGCTGCTGCTGCACCTGCCTTTCCCTCCAGTCTCATCTCGGGTCATCTGCCCCTCTGCTCCTGCCACGCTGGCCCTCTCCCTGCTGCCTGAACAAGTGACCCTGCTTCGCCATAAGTGCCTAAGTAGAATTCACTTATTCCCTTAATTTTTCACTTGAATAATTGGCATTCTTTTTAAAAAGCTTCTAGTTTTCTGGTTGCTTGTGGATATGTGCTCCTTGACTGTATCTAAGCAGCATCCATTTTTTTTGTTTTGTTTTCATTCGCTTGTTAAAATTGCTATTCTCTCTCCCATAAATTTCTGGGGTCACCGTCAGCTTTGCTCATCATTCTACTTTGCATTCAACAAGTATCTCCCGGGAGTCACACCAGGCACTGTCGCAGGCACTGGGCGTGACACGGAGCAGCAGAGAGCCCTCGTCCTGTCTGAGCTTCCGTTCTCGGGGAGGCAGACAGGGAAGAAGGAGAAGTACGGGAGGGAGATGGCCGCAGGTGCTGTCTGGAAAGAGGAAGCAATCCGAGGGGTACGGGGCGGGGGCAGGGGGCGAGGGGGACCAGTCCTCGCTGTCACAGGGAGCGGTCAGGGGAGACTCTGATGAGGTGATGTTGGAGCGGAGAGCTGGAGACCTGACGGAATGATCCGAACAGAGATCTGGGGGAGGAGGGACAAGCATTTTGGGCAGTGCGTGCAGTTTGTGTGCAGCACTTCAGGTCAGATGGCGTCGGATTGTTATTGCCGTCTGTGAAGGCTCTGGAGCACACCAGGCTTCTGGCAGTTACACGTTCAAGAAGTCTGTATTATCTGCGTTTGGAGTTGGATTTAAGTTCATGTTGTGGCAGGTTTGTTCTAAGACTGATTTAAGAAGGAAAAGGAACCATGAGGTGATGCTGTTTTTAATGCCTGGGAGAAGCTACAATGGCCTCCTCTAATGTTGTTTGTTTCCGTGGCAACAGGAGGCCCATGCAGCCTCTAGCCTGGAGGATGCTGTTCCTGGACAGTTCTGTTCCCCTGACGGAAATGGTCTCAACTAGCGTGTTTGCACCTGCCACCCCTGTGCCAAACCGCCACACGTAGTCCCTCACCTGCACCTGAAGCTTTACGGAAAAAAAAAAAAAACGCTCTTCCAAGTTGAAACTGGTTTTCCTTGGTGTTTTGCATCCTTCATGTGTGGTCCTTTCCATCCTTCATTTCCATCCATTTCCATCCTGTCAGCATCATCGAACCAAAACGTTCGAAGTGTGGGAGTCCCAGACACGGTTAAAACCTTCTCAGCACCACCCCTGACACAGGTCGGAGGCCCCTGCCCGGAGAGGGGTCTTTTGTCGGCGTGGTGCGCCTCTCTCAGGGCCTCGTCTGTACGTTTGTACACATGTGTGCGTGCCCACAGAAACTTCAGATACGATGCGTCTGAAATGATTTGAGTTTTTCCCCCCACAATACTAGATCACACCTGAATTATCTTAAAACCATTTACTTGTTTCGGTCAACAGTATGCTTTAGGAATCTCTGCAGGTCTGTGTACTCACACACACTTTCTTCATTGAAACTCCTGCAGAGGACGTGCAGTGTGAATGTAGCCAGGAATGAATACAATGCATGCGTTCATTGTCCTGCGCTCAGATGCCCGCTGTGTCTCTAGTTCCCGCTTTCGCTCTCATCACCATGCTGCAGGGAGCGTCCTCGTCCCGAATTAACCTTCCACCTGGGCTAACGAAAGGCAACCGAAATGTTCTGGTTCGCGTGGGGTTGGGGTTGGGGGTTGGGGTGGTTTTGCTCTGGAACGGTGACCGTGCAAACACCGTGTAGCTGCGCAAGCCCCAGCGCCAGCCTGGCACTGACGGCACTGACCGGGCCACGTCTGCCTTGCTCCGCAGGATCCGCAAAGTGTGGCAGCGGAGGAAGTGCGCCGTCAAGAACGGGATGCTGACCATCTCCCACGCCACGGTAAGTGCGTCCCGTCCGTCCTCACGCGCCGCCCCGGCCCTGCCTGTGGTCACATGGACTAGAAACTAGCAGACACGTGGCGTCACGGGCGCCGGGATGGTCCCCCAGCACGTTTAGGTGCGGAGTCGGTCAGACAATTTCAGATACTCTTCTCGAGAGAAGTTGGTCTTTGTCCTGTGGTGTCTGTCCCGCCTCGTTCTGTCGGCCCACCGAAACTTTTTACCTTTTGCTCTTTCAGACCAAGCCAGGTCGCCTTTTACTTGATAATCTCCTCTTCTGGGAAATATGATTGCTTGTGGTGAAAACCTGGTTTGTTGAACTATAAAGATGACAGAAGAGATGTTCTTTGCATGAAAAATGTAATGTAGGAAGTGGAACAATGCATGTAAATATGTCCGGTCTTTTTTATTGTTAACTATTGACTTAAATTACTCAGAAAGTCCATCATTTATGTTAAAGGGTATATACGTGAAACAGTGAACAATAAAATTGCCTCCGTTATGACTCCCCCTTTTTCAGTCATAAAGGCAATTGAATAGGAAGGAAATAGCTAAGCTATTAACACTTATGTTCTGTTTATCTTCAGATTATTGGTGTACATGCATGCACATTACGTAGTGATAGTTGATGTCTATAATCTGTCTAGAATTTTTCTTTTTCTTTTGTAGCACCCATTTCCAACTGAAAGTCCTATCTTGACAAAATCCATATACTTGTCAAAATAGGTTCAGTCTTGGTGACAGTCAAAGACATATGCAGTAAAAACAAATCACATTTTTGCCCTTTGAAACTAGCAAGAAATTATTTTCTTATTCGTAAAAATTATAATGGCAAATGTATCGAGCCGGAATGGAAACAGCAAAGTACTCTGAGTCTGGACACAGGCACCTGCAGGCTGACCCGGGGGCCCAGGGTGGAGCAGAGGCTCCTGGGGAAGCCGGGGAAGCTGCACCCCTGAGCCAGGGGCTGTCCTCCGGTTCCAGCAGCGCTCGTGGCGAACAGGACAGCAGACAGGAGCTGAGAGCAGTTCGAGCCCTGGCAGGTTTTCATCATTCAGTCGTGTTTAGACTGCCCTCTGCTGAGGAGGAAAGGAAGTACCACTTATTAAGCACTTCATGTGAAACCCTTCATAAAGTGTATTGCACTGAATCCTCTGTAACCTTCTCTTTTTTTGCTTTTATGTAATCTACTTATTTTGTATTGTTGCTCTACTACAGTTGTCCCAATTCCCACAGAGCAAATGGGGGAGAGAGCAGTTCTCCCCCATTGCTCTCCACCCCCTCCCCCCAACGGGCCCCCCCCCCCATCGGTCCCCTGTTGTCCCCTGTTGTCCATGTCCCTGGGTCATTTATGCTTGTTCTTTAAGGAGGCCCATCCCCTCTTTCCTCCCTCCCCCCGCCCCCCTCCAGCCCCTGTCAGTTTGTTCCTTGATGCCACGCCTCTGGTTGTTTTGCTCATTTGTTTGTTTTGCTCTAATATTAGGTTCCCATTATAGGTGAGATCATATGCTATTTGTCTTTCGCTGCCTGACGTATTTCACTTGGCATAATGCTCTCCAGCGTGTAACCTTCATTTTTGCAATGAAGAAACCAAGGCACAAAGAAGCACCGAGACTCAGCTAGTAGCTGGCAGAGTCGGGAATGCAAGCCGCGGTCTGCCTGCCATTGGTCCGCGCGCCCCTTCCGTTCAGCCTGCCATCCCTCAGAGCCCCGCCATCTCAGGGGTATAGCTGACCCCCCCCCCGCCCCCGGGCAAGTTCCAGAGGCGTCCGGGTGATGTGCAGACCTCGGAGCCTGCCGCAGGCAGACCCGCCGGCACGCCGGTAACTGGGTCGTGCGAGAGGCTTCGGCTCACGGCGCTGCAGGGTGTGGATGGGACATGTGGTCAGCATCTGCCCGGATGTGACTGTGCCTGGCCTTCGGCCGGCTTCCCTGAGCCGGACACGTGCCTGGCCCTGTCTGATGTCATCAGCCGAGTGGCACTAAGCGGTGTGACCCTGAGTGGGTCTGCGTTGTGTGTGACCAGAAGCGTGACTGCTTCTCTATGCCTTGGCGTCTCCTTCAGGCTGCACCAAAGTGCAGGTCCCCAGCCGTCTGTCTCTGCACAGACCTGGAGCTGTGGTCGGAGGTTTTCTCCGTGTGCCCTCACTCTCCTGCCAGGTCGTGGTGTGTCCTTGCCAGGATCCGGGGACCCGCCTTTCCTAGGGACCTGCGGGGAAGGCAGCACAGTGTGCGGGGAGGTCCCAGGGTTGACGAGAAGCAGTGGCACCGCTTGCTAGCAGTTCTACAGCTGGGGCAATTTGTTTTAAAAAAGTAATAATAAGTTCCCTTCCATCCTCCCTCTTTCTTTCCTGCCAAACACATTACTGTGGCCAAGCCAACCGTTTCCGTGTGTTCTTGAGGCTCTAGCCAACAGCAGACACGACGTCAGCTGCGCTGGTTAGTGGCTTTGAGAAGGGACTGGGGCATCTGTCCCACGAGTCTGCGTCCCCACGTGGCCATTCACTGCATGCCCTGGGGAAGAGTGCTCACTGCGTACCTGTGATGGCGAAGATTAAGGGGCATCACAGCCATGCGTGGGCATTCCAGTCACAGCAGTCGTCGCTGCCCTGTGACCTCGTTGGCTGTTGCTGGCAATACCGAAATCCAGTGACAGGCAGCTCCCCTGCTACAAACGTGGGGAATGGGGAGTCTCCCTCAGCAGCTCAGGGGAAGTGGGTTTCCCCTCCCAACTTCCGATTCCCTCCGCTGACTCCTATTTTTTCTTTCCCACTCGTGGTCGGCTTCGGGCCGCACCTTTCTGCTGCCAGTGACATCACTCGTGGGCACATCCCTGCTCAGAGGAAAGGTCCCTGTAGCCAGTTTTAGCTGGCTTTTCCTGACTTCGCAAACACCCCTGATCACTTGCAATCAGATGGAAAATTAAGACCAGCAGTTTCTCCTGGGGAAACACACGGAACTCAGTGATCTTTGGAAAAAGGGATCAAAGAGCCTTTGTTGTCAGGAAAGTTGAGGCCCGCGTTTGGGACCCCTTATCACCTGGGGGTTCCTCCTGCTTGAAGGGCCCCCATCAGTGTCAGGCTGAAGTTGTTACCGCAGTGACGCGGAAGAGGGCTGAGTGTCGTCCGGACGACTGCGGCTGCTCTGCCGGCTTGGCCGCCCACGTGACCTGCCCCAGGTGCCGTTCTTCTCCCGGGCCCCCAGTCCAGGAGGAAGTTCGGTTCTGCATGTACCTGCAGGACCTACAGCCATCTGAGAGCATCTCACCCGCAGACAGACCCCCTGCTTCCCATGGGTCCGCTCCAGGGCACAGAGTCTTTACTTTACTATTCAAAGTAATGCATCACTGGAACCAGAGCCAGTGGGAGTATCTTAACTTGCTGTTATGGTAGTAACGTTGATAGCAGCTTCCATCGGTGGGCCATCCAGTGTGTCCCAAGTGCGGTATACAGTGTTTCCTTTCAAAATACCAGTTCTGACACAGCCGTGGCAAACGCTGTGTCAGCCTCAAAGCTAGTGAAGGTGTCCACCTAGCCAGTACATAAAGCATATTCTCATTATACATACATATTCTTAACAGAGTATTGCATTGCTCCAGGCAAACCAGCAGCACCCTCAGCTCCCAGAGTGTAGCTCTGTGACAGCCAGGTGTTTTGTGACGGCCGCTCGTTTCTGCCTGAGAGACCAGCCAGCTGCGCACCCTGGGTTCCTCCTCTTGGCACAGCCTCTGGAACCCCGGGGTGCCACGGTGCTGATACCGCCTGGGCTTCAGGAACTGCCGCATCACCCCTCCTGCCTTCCCGTGGAGCAGAGAGTAGAGAGAACTCCCGAAAGGCACTTGTTTCTTAGTGAAGAAGGGACATGAAAGTGAGGGTGAAGATGTACAGAGGCGAGAGATGACGAGCCCTGGGGAGGGACCTGGCCTGAAATACCCACAATCTGTGCGGCTCCATCACTAAGCTCAAACAGTGGAAGTGAAGACCCGTATTATTTTATTTCTACGTCTTTCCACAAGGCAAGCGCCGCCAGGCTGGGTCCAGCTTACTCCCCTACTGATGAAGGGTGCTCACTTCTTGTTTGTGGAGCTGAGCAATGCAGCAGCAGGGTGGGGGGCCTCGTCTCGTTTCTGGAGACGAATTCCAGTAGCAGCTGTTTTCTGCCAGCAGAGGACTGTGCCTGCGCTGGCGGCTTCGCACTTCCAGCGACAACACGCCGCGTCGGTGCGTGCTGAGCTGTCGGAGGACGGGCGTGTGGTGTTTGTTTTCCCTCGGGAGACACAGGAACAGTCACCACAGTTGACTCATCCTGTCTCCATGTGCACGTCTCCTCGCAGTTCGGAGGAGACTTTCTGGCCGAGTGGCGTGTTCCGTGTGGGGTGGCGGGACATCCTGTCAGAGCAATGATGTCTTCGTCACTTCTGTTCATGGAACGTGTCCAGCGCTCCCCCCCAGAAACCTTTCCAAAGACGGAACACTCGAGAATGGGTCTGCCGTGTGTGTGTGTGTGTGTGTGTGTGTGTGTGTAAAGTAGAAACATCCATATATGTTGTTCATTGGGGGAAAAGCAATTTGTCAAACAATACAGACGAGTGGAACCGACCCATGTTTCTATTTTTTTAACATTTACATTTTAAGAGATTTGTGTTTGTTTGGTTTTTTTCCCCCACACACATTTTGTTAAAATCAAGGTACTAACTAACTGAGCTATTGTCTCTGGGTATAAAGGCGGGTTCACAGGTGACATTCAGTTCCTTTTTTGCACTCTGTCTCCCAGTGTTTCTTCAGCGAATGTGCCTCCTTTTGAGGACGAGTGAGACCTGTACAAGGGCAGGCCCCGGCTGCATCTGGGGTAGAAGCACTTGTCGCCTCGGAAAGGTTTCCGCAGCCAAGCCTGTGGGCACGGTGCGCCCCGCCCCCCACGCACCCTTCAAGTGCCTGGACTGGCTGGTCCACGTGCCCTGTAGAGGTTCCTTTCGGAACAGTTTATTAAAAGTCTCCCTTTTGGGCTGAATCTTGAGTCCCCGGCCCCCAGCCCCAAACCGTGGCCTCAATTCAGGCCCTCATCCTTGCGCGTCAGTTTCCCTCCGGGTCGCTCCTCCAGCTGCCCTCCTGCAGGCAGGCCTGACGGGTGCTCTCTCTGATCGGCTCCGGGGCTCCTGGGCGGGGCTGTGAGTTGCTCAGTGCCATGTGTGTGCAGTGCTCTCCCTGCTTCCCCATCAGCATCACCTCCTCCCCTCCTCCCCTCCTCCCCTCCTCCCTTCCTCCCCCAGGTGCCTGCACCTGGGCCTCCTTGCTCCTCCCGCTCATCCGCCTCATTCATCTCTCTCCCCAGGTACTCGCTGCAGGCTGGTGCTGCCCGCGGGACTGCCCAGGTCCTTGGTGCACTCTCGAGCTCAGGCACCGGGCACATGCTAGGTCCATGGTCAGGGCTGTCTCCCACAGCTGATGCTGGTGCGGAGCACTTGTTTTTCATGTGTGCCCAGAATGCATGAAAACACTGAGAAAGAAACTAAAAAGACTTCCCTCACACTTAGCCTATGTAAGCCACCTGGAATGCATTCATTTATTGAATGCCTGCTGTACGCCGGGCACGTTTTAGTGAACAAAACAGAAATGTGTGCGTTTAGTGGAAAGAACGACAGGAAGCAAATAAGGACAAATAAGAGCCAGGGAGGCCATGTCACAGGGTGGGAGGGACGGGCGGCCAGGCCAGGAGCCACTCGAAGGACCTGTGGGCCGTGAGCCACCTGGAGGGAGGGGGGCCAGTGCCCCTCCCCGGGGGCCCAGCAGGGGGAGCAGCGGATGCAGGGGCTGGAGCTGCAGCCCCAGGAGCCTGGCGGCCAGCGTGCAGACCGGCTGTTTCCATTCTCCGCTGGTAGGACTCCGAATGCCCGTCTCCTTGTTCCTTCCCTTTTTTCCTTTCTCCTTTCCGCTATGTAAACAATGTGAGCGTGTTTTCTAAACCGCCCCACAGGGGTGCAGCCCAGGGCAAGTCATTCAGCCCTCTGTGTTTGAAGTCTGCCGAACCGCTGGGGAAGATTATACCTTTAATCAGTGTACCTATAAATTAGCACTAAATGCCGAGAGAAAGTCTTCGAGATGTTGAAGAGTTGTACAAACCTGGAATTACTGTCATGGCCGTAGTGATTCCTGAGCCTTCTGGCCCCCGGGTCCGGGGACACGGGTGGAGTGCCCCATTACACTTTCTCACATTCCTGGCTCGGCGATGGCTCTGTCCGCGGCTTGGGTCATCAAAAACGGTGTCGTTTTGGCTCCTCGAAGTCACGTTTGGGTTGATAGGTCATTTGTCAAGATTTCTCACTGGCATTTGGGGGAAGAACAAACACTATACTTGTGCAAGATAAGTGTCAGTGTCCACTGAAGTTCAAGTTGATGTGGCAAAGTCAGTCCGGTGGACTTGGCAGACTTCCCAGGGAATCCATAGCATCTGTCCTCGTCACTGACGTTGTGGTGCAGCCGTGAAATGACCTGAACATATAAAATCTGTATCCTCAGAAGCTTTCTGGTAATACACTGTGAAGTAGTCCATGCTTGCGGGGGCGGGGGGGGGGGGGTCTGCCTCATTTTCCTGAATGAGTTAATGGTCAACTTGAGTGTTTCTTTCCGTCTTTAAATTTTTCTATCTGTTTTGCATTGTATTGGTTGTGTCTGTTGGTAAGGTTGTTTCAGAAACACTGCAGCAGTATACACTTGGGACCAAAAAAAAAAAAAAGTCATCTAGTTAACTGCCACATTCAAAAGTGAATGTTGTCTAAAAAATTCTTAGGTTTTTCCAAGAGATTTCTCTACGTAGGTTAAGAAACTTGAAACCTCCTATTATGCATAATCAGCTTAAGCCTGGGAAGTTCTTGCTTCTGTCTGGCTTAGATCTTCTTCTGCGAGCGGAGTGCCTTGGTCCGCGCAGATGGGAAACAGCTGCCCGGCCCTCCTCCAGCACAACCTTCGTGTCCTCGAAGGCCGTGATTAAGTCACTCCCTGTCCGTCTTTTCCCTGGGCTAACGAGTGCCTTTAGCCCGTCTTCAAAGGTCCCACTTTCCCGTCCTTTAATCATCTCTCCGTCTTCCCTAAGCCCTCCTGCATCCTCCTTGAAACGTGGATGCCAAATTGGAACACAGCCTTCCACGGAGAGTCCGTTAACAGGGATTGCGGCCTCTCCAGGTTGTCAAATGTCATTGTTTTCATTTGGGGAATCTGGTGACTTAATCAGTATCCAAGCAGGGGGAGCCGCCAGACTGACAGTTCGTGGCACAGCGGGCTGGGCCAGATTTGTGGCGTGGCTGCTGGCTGGCCGTCTGAGGCCTCTGGCAACCCAGACTCCAGGTCTGTCCTGAGAAGAACATGCAGGCCCATGCCCCCCTGTCCTGGACGTGGCGACCTGTGGTTGCCACGTGGTTTCCTGTGAGGTACATTCTCCCGTACAGGGCTCTGCTTCTGGCCTCCGTGTCTCGGTCAGAGGCCTGTGGTCTCTCACGCCCTCCCCCCAGACCGCTTGCGTTGGAGCAGATAGGCACAGGACGAGGGGCTTGTTCTCTGTGTCCGGTGTCACTGGAACCGCAGAGCAAGATCTCGAAAACTGCCCAGCGAGCACAGGAAGGCAGACAGAAATGGGGTGTTGCTCACTATTGAGACTGAGAAGTGTGGTGGGTCATTGAGATGGCCTTGACGACATGCCACCTCTGTTGTTCAGGGCCTTGATTAATCACTGTTGTGACATTTCCCCTACTTTCCCAACCCCATTTTTCCTAAAAATTTGGGGTGCGTGAGTGGACACACTCCTGGCATGGGGACTTCGACTGGGCAAGCAGGCCCGGCTAAAGAGTTCCAGTGCCTACTGCAGTGGGCTGTGTTCGTGCCCGGCCTGGACGCTCAGACGTCTGCTCCTTGGTCAGCACCTGCAGGAGGCAGACGTGTTGGCATCGGCGTTGGCCAGTGTGTGACCTCAGACAAATGCGGGCAGGCGGGTCAAGGACGAGTTCTGACCAGAGTGATTATGTGGCAGGACTCCACTTAGGCCAGGCCTGCGCATGACTGTCTACGTACTGCAGGGTCTGGTAATCCGAGATTTGCTGATGATCAGCGCTGCCGTCTTGGCCACGTTTCCCATCTCTCCAGAGTTGGGGGCTCATTAGGGTCAGGCCTCATGGGTGGTAGTTGTCCTTAGGCGTTTGAGAGGAATCACGTAAATTCCACACTGCAGCCAAAACTTGTGGATGCTTGGGACATCGGGTTTGGGATGATTGGTGACTGAGTTGTTCTGAATGAGTGAATGAATGAATGATGAATGAATTATAGTCCACTACATTTCACAGGAAGATACAGTATTAAAAGTGCCATCTGTTTGAAAATGAGTGGGTTCCAGAAAGGTGCATTTTCATGGACCATGCCCACTCTTCACTGAAAAGTGGATTTTCCCGATTCTGTTCTAATTAATCACCAGATACTATGTATAGTTAAGGACGTTTGTTAAACCACCAAAATTTTTTTTCTTTCTTTAATGACATTCAGAACCCTGGTGGCTGAATAAGACTTTATCAGACTTGCTGCCTGCAGCCACATGCCTGCGCCCACCCCGACCCCAGCCCCAGGCACTGGCCCTGCAGGGAGGGGGAGGCGCTACAGGTCACTTCTCCGTGTTCTCTGTTCCAGTCTAACAGGCAGCCAGCGAAGCTGAACCTTCTCACCTGCCAGGTGAAACCGAATACCGAGGACAAGAAGTCTTTTGACTTGATCTCACGTGAGTGCTTTTTCTCTCCGAGCCAGTCGGTTATGGTGGGTGCTGGCTGCCACCCATTTCCATTGAGGCAGTGGCTTTTCCAAGCAGGGCCCCTCGCTGCCTCTGCACACGCAGCCCTAGGGAGGTGCCTCGCGTCTGAGTCTGCTCTGAGCCCTCCGGCTCCAGATGAGGGCGGGGCTGTGTCAGATCTGGTGTGCAGGGGAGTAGAACCTAGATTCGTTAGGTGAATTAGACCAATTCCTGCCCGTGGCACACAGCTCTGTCGCCTTGGAGACTTTTCTAAGTATATTCCCATTCCTCTCCTAGATTTGCTAAATCATAGTCTTATCTGTGAGTCCAGACATTGGTGTTTTTGTGGGAAGCCCCCAGGTGGTTCTCAGGTATCTTTGGAAAGGCAGGTGGGCTGCTCGCTGCATTTGAACGACTGATTTGCTTACACTCTTATGCCTGCAAACTTAAGTTGTTACAGGGACAATCCCCTGCTTCCAATCATCCCTGCCTGCAGTCTCCACAAATGGATGACACTGTGTTCTGTCCCTCTCCTGCCCCAGGGGTCAGAGCGTGCTTTCCTCTTGTGACTCGGGTGCAGAAAGACCCACCCACCGGCCTACCCCGTGTGTTCGCGGAGGCTCCGGAGAGTGGGGGGGGAAGGGGGTTGTTTTCCTCCTGGCTGGCTCCCTGTGCCTGCACCAGGCCCATGGCTGCACTGGGACCCTCAGATAGCTGAGGGGGCCCCTCTTAGCAAAGGCCGTGCCCGTACAGTGAGCCCACACACCCCATGCAGTCCCACGGCACCACCCTTCAGCGTCCTTCCGCCTCTGCAGCTCCCCGGCCCAGGCGGGCTGGCAGCCTGCGTGCGCGCTCTGCGTGTGGAGCACAGAGCGCTTCCCTGCCCTTGACCTCCTTCGGGTGCCGTCGTGTGACTTGAAACCCAGGGGCAGGGTCAGTCCGGGGGCGCTTAGTGTGGACTCCGAGCGGGGTTCTGCAGCACGTGTTGGAGTTTGTGGTTTTTACGACCGAGCAATTTCTCGGGTTATTAATGAGAGTTAAACTATGATTTCAAAAAGCCAAGAACCCCTAGATTTTAGAACCTGTGGGTTATTGAGTTATACGAGCATAACTGCCGTCTTCCGTTATCAAACATCTAATCTGTGCCGGGTGCTTTATGTACATCGTTGCTGATCCCCACAACAGCCAGTTTCCTATTTGGCAGAAAACTGAGGCCCAGAGAGGTTCGGTGACTTACACAAAGTCACACAGCTTTAAAACAGACATTCAGCTGAGACTCTTAGGCTCCACTCCCCGTGGCGTGTTTTTGCACGGGAACACCGTCTCTCTCTGGGAGGTGGGGCCGTGAATGCCTAGCCTGGGGCAGCCACACGGTGAATGGCTGGCGGGAAGTGAAGGCTCATTTGAGCAGAGCATGTGGAAGCATCCTGGCAGGTTCTTCATTTGAAGAAAGAGCTTCCCTCGTAAACACCTGCCCGAGTGCCCCAGGTAGGCCGCCCCCCCTCCCCTGGGCCGCAGCCTGAGATGACCCGCCAGCCGAGGTCGGGCCGTCTTCCCCGATGCCCGCTCCGAGCAGGGGGCGGCAGCCCAGGCTCCTCTGGGGCGGAGTGAGCCTGCTCGTCCGGCTGCCCTGCGAGTTGTGAATCATGTCGGAGAAGGAAACTGTTTCTAAAGGGGGCGCAATAAAAGGCAGATTGAAAATGAGAAGTGAAGTACTGTGCCGGCAGCCAGCACTCCGCAGTTTGTCGCTGGGACCCATTCGCGCAGGCAGGACCAGCCCCTCCCCCTGTTTCCCAGAAGTGCCAGATATTTGTGGGGTGTGTGCGGTTCTTTTATCGCATTCCTGTGGCACTTCAGAAAAAGTGGCATTGACAACGTGAGTTGTGTAACTGCCGAAACAAAGTGGCATAAAAACAAAAGAATATTGAAATCCTACTGTTACTGTGAGGGTTTGTTTTTGGGTTTTTTTTTTTTGGTAGGAACTTGGGAAGTTTTTATTAGACCTGAAGGTATTCTGCTTTCTAAGGTTTCACGTTGTTTTCTTCTTCGTGTTTTAGATAACAGGACGTATCACTTTCAGGCGGAAGACGAACAGGACTACGTAGCGTAAGTAGTTCTGAGTTCAACGCTGGCACAGCGCACCTCTGTCCTGCATTTTCATGCCCGAGCACCGCTCCTGGCGGTTCCCCTTGCTCGTCTCTCCCCCCTGGGCCTTTGCACCTTGCTCTCTCTCTCTCTGTGGTGCCCGGTGAACTCTGGTGCCTCCTTGAAGACTCTGCTCAAGCCCTGCCATCCTGGAGGCAACCATCTGGAGGCGTGTGCCCTCCTCTCAGCCCCAGAGCCTCCGCCCGCCCCCTTGGGAAGCCCTGGTTCAGGCTGAGCCCCCAGAGACCGGGAGCTTCCTGAGGACCAGGGCTGTGTCTCCCTGTCTCGTAAGCACATCGCCGGCACTTAGAGGGCACGCCCACTGTTCGGTAGCCGGATGCGTGCGCCGGGCTCCCCAGGACCTTGCTGTCATGATCAGGGGAGCAGGCCAGCCTGGCCCTGAAGGACCAGGACTGGCAGGAACCCTTCTCCGACAGAGCCTGGTGTGGGGGGCAAACTGGGCTTGGTGTCTGTCATTCATTCCTGGGTCGGAACCCCGACCTCACCTGAGCAGGTGTGCCATCATAGGCAGCCCCTTTTTCATGTCATCCCCTGGTTCGGAGCCACCATCGCCACCTCTTCTGTCCTGTAGCCTGTCCTGTAGCCCGGCGGGGACTGAGTGTTGTGGGACCACCGCAGCCTCGGCTGCTCGGGCAAGGGGGCGTTTGTGTGAGCGCTGGCAGTGAGACCTTGCTGTAGCGTTCAGACGTGTTGTTGCTTCGTCATTGGCAGCACCCACTAAATACTATTTTCCTCCCTTAATTATTCCTGTAGAGCCACCGAATTCTGCTCACACCCCGTTTCCTTACACTCGCCCCTTTGCTCTCCTCTTCCTTTCTGTCTCCTCCTGCTCTGGAGGATTTTCCTCTTGCCCCGTCTCCAGGGAGAAATGATAGGGACCAGAGAGAGAGTAAGAAGCAGGTACAAAGGGTGTGGAGTGTTGGGAGAAACAGTGAAAAGGCTGAGCGAAAAGGTGGGAGAGACCAGGGGAAAAGGGGAGAAAGGTCCACGGGCCATGGCTTCACCTGACGGCTTATTAAACGCCAACTACGGCCCGAGGCCGATGCGGAGCCTGGAGAACACGGCACTGAGGCAGGCTGAGCCCTGCCTGAAGGAGCACAGCCTCTGCTGGACGAGAAGGGCAGGTGCCATGGTGCGGGGACCGAGGAGGCCAGTGCTGTGGGCACACAGACCGGGGCGCGCACCCTCCCGGGTACTTGGGGGTGCTGCTGGGAGATGACTTCCAAGAGGAAGGGAAGCAGCCAGAGCCGGCTGAGGAAGGCACGGGATGGGTGTAAACCCTCTGTGCAGGTGGGGCATCCCGCTGGCCTAGAAGCGGCAGGGAGGAAGGGAGAGGAAAGGGCAGGTGGCCAGGTGTTGCCGGGATGGAGCTGGCCAACTGGAGGGTGACTGGGAACCAGGAAAAACGGGGACAGTCAGGAGGGCTGGCCCTCCACCTCAGATTCAGAGAGAGGTCATGTTTATCCTAAAATGGGTAACGTGTGTTGCGCTCATACTGTGCTAAGTGCCTGTCGTGCCTTAGCAACCCTGACAACCGCAGAAAGTGGGACTGTTATCCCCAGTTTGGAAAGGAGGAAGCGGGGCACAGTGTGCCCGTGGTCACAGCCCCAGGGACCCGGGGCGTCCAGCTGCCCTCACGGTGGCGCCTGTCAGGAGCCAAACAGCAGGGGCTCACCCACACTGTCTCTGCTCCTTTCACACGCCCCCCGAGGGCGGCAGGCCACCCCCGTCTTGGTGGTCAGGCTCAGAACAGTAGGTGTGCGAGGGGGAGCCTGGCCCCGGTGCCCGTGCCGTTCCCAGCTCCCCACGCTGGTTCCGTCGGGGGTTCGGCTCCGGGAGTCAGAGGACAGGGATTCAGAAGTGAGGGAATTGAGAAGCCCGAGCCTTGCGCTTGCCTGGATCTGGCTGGCATCGCTTGGTTTACCTTTAGGAACCTCACTCCTTTGTAAGACAAGGGAACGAGAGGGGATTATTCAAGGCCCCCCTGGAAAGTGGCGGACAGCGTGCGATTCGAGCAGACCAGCGTTGTGATGGCTGGTGTGATGGCTGTGAACACGTTCCTGCTGGGAAAGGCACCTCAGGCCGTCACGTGTCCCAGGAAGACTTTGTCAAGTCTCCTTGGAGTGTCGCTTTCCCTTCTCCCGTTTTGTGCTTTGCTTCTCTTCCCCCTTTCTCACAGCCCCAAGTGGGAGGACAGGTAGGCGACCCCGGGGAACACATCCGCTTCTTTGTTCTGCTCCGTCTCAGACCAAGGCCTTGAGTCTTCTGACCGAGGGGTAGCGGAGTCAGAGTCGGCCAGAGAGGCATCGGTTCCCTGCTGCAGGGCCTCCCACCCTGTGGTACAGGGTTGCTGGGCCCCACCTGCAGCTGTGGCGCTGCGTGCTCTTGGAGTCCTCTGGGTGCTCGTGGCGAGGTCACAGGCGGACTTCGAGTGACGTAGGAGGCAGTGGCTTTCTGCAGCGGAGGCACGTGCCCCGGAGGGAGGCCTCAGTTCTTCATTCGCTCTCACCGCACCTCTGGGTTTCCCTCCCACGGGAGAGCGTGCAGTGGGGCTGAGAGAAGAGACCGCTGCTCACCGAGGAGGGAGGCAGGTGCAGTAGGAAGGGCAGGTGTGCAGGTAAGGCGGGCCAAACTGACGGCTGCTCCCGGCTCTGCCCTTCCTACCACGGCCATCGTCCCCCCTCCGTCGTCTTGCCAGTTCCATGGGGTCTATGGGCCTCGCGTGCAGACTTTGAGACTAGAGATAAAATGTGTAAAACTCCTACTACGCTGCCAATTTTTTTAGCCCTGTAAACTCAAAGTGACTTTTAAAGTGTTAAAATACAATTAGGCATTCTTTTCTTTCTTCTATTTTTGTACACCTATTACTTTAAAGTAATTTAAAAGTTTTTTTTAATGTCAGAAATAGCTATTTTGATCTCCACCCTTTTGAAAGGTAGCCGCTCCATTTCATCCAAGTTGAATTACTCCTCCAGAAAACTCATTGTCCTTTACCTACGTATTTTCTGATTATTATGACAGACTCCTTCCTTCCTTTCTCTTTCTTTCTTTCTTCCTCTTTCCTTTCTTTCTTTTTCTTTCTTTCTTTCTCTCGTTCTTTCTCTCGTTCTTTCTCTTTCTTTCTTTGTCGTGACCTCTTGAATAAAGAGGCAGAAATGGCCTAAGGGAAAGAACTCTGCAAACGGGGAGTCGCTGGAAGTGCCTCTTCCCCCGTCTGAGAGCGCTGCAGCTGCGGCCCTCGGGCAGCCGCCGTCCAGCCTCTCCGGGCTCACGTCCCCTGGATCAAGTGTTGTAGGCGCTTGCGCAGGGGCTGGTGGGAGGGTTCCCTGAGAGAGATGTGAGTGCCTGGCACGCAGCAGACACTTGTGACGTCACATAGGCAGAGTATCCTAATGCTTAAGGGAAACAAAGCAGAGACCCTGCAGGCAGAGAGGAAACTTGGGTCACATCGGTGCCTCGGGTGACATGCTGTGACCAGTGCTCTTCCGTCTGGTTTCTTAAGCTGTTTTTAACAAAACAGTTTGTAGTTTGCAACTCGAGACTAAACAGTGGAAGAACACAGTTGCATGTAAAAGGTGTTAAGTGGCCCCCCTCCCCGCCCATCCCTAGACTGCTGGTTTGGGGGTGCAGTGAGTGCTTCCTGCGCCACAGTGGAAAAGCTGAGCTGTGCACAGGTTCTTTCTCACAACAGACTGAAGGAGAGCGCCACCTAGAGTCAAAGGTGGGACTTGCAGGTCACATACCCCAGGAAATTTGGGTTGTCTTTTAATTCCCATTACTAATTCAAAACCTGTTGTAGCCCATCCTTCGTTGCATATCCATTCGATCCTACAAGACCCCCGAAAAACTAGATCCTCCTTTCTGGACCTCTGTGTTCTCTGCTGAGAACAGGTATCACCTGTCTCTGCAGTAGGTAACAATAAACAGTGGTTTGGAAATGTTTTTCCTTTTCTTCTTAAAAAAATAAATGTGGCTTTTTTTTCCATTCATGAAAGTAATACCAGCTCCCTATATATATGGAAAATTACAGAGAGGCACAGAGTCAAGCAACCCATCTATCCATTTTCCTACAGAAGATCACTCGGGGACACCAATAGCATTTTATGAATTTCCTTCTTGCCTTTTCTTTTCCAAACATACATACATACTCCAGGCATGCATTTAAGTGTAAGGCTATATCGTATATAATGGTTTTTCCTATTTATTTCACGAAACATTATATTATGAGCATTTCCCCAATGTCATTCAAAAATTAGTAAAACACCTCAGTTTTAATACCTGGGTAACTATTCCACTTTCTGGTTACTTCATGCTTTATTCATCAGCCCCCTGCTGCTGGGCATTCGGGTTATTTTACGCATAGATTGGTGGGAGAGGATTATTTTGCTCAGTACACATTGGGATCCTACTGGATATATAATTTAATAGTCTTCTCTTTGCGTTGTACATTAAAATGCCAGCATGTGTCCACATTAGTGCACCTTTCTCCTAAGCATAGATTTTCCTGGCCGCTAATGAAATGCCCTGTGTGGTGTCACTGGGAGCCCCCCCCAACCCCCCCCACAGCTGGGCCTCTGGGGAGCAGGGGCCTCCTGCTGACCTCCTCCCCATTCCTCACCGGTCCTTCCGAGACACCCCCTTGGCTGTGTCTGTGCTGGTCCTCAGTGATACAACCCGACCTGCCCCACCTCTTCCTCGGGTCTCCCCCCTCCTCTCTGCTCTGCCCCTTTCCACCCTTTACCTCTCCTTCCTTCAGGTTTCATTCCTTTCGTTTTCTTCTTTCTTCGCTGCTGCGGGGGAGTGCTGTCGCTTCGGGTGTCTCTTGGTGGTGAACACGGGGTTGTCGCGACGTGGGGGAAACAAGCTCTCTTTCCTGCTGCGTCCACAGGTGGATTTCAGTGCTGACAAACAGCAAGGAGGAGGCCCTGACCATGGCCTTCCGGGGCGAGCAGAGCACGGGCGAGAACAGCCTGGAAGACCTGACCAAAGCCATCATTGAGGACGTCCAGCGGCTCCCGGGGAATGACGTCTGCTGCGACTGCGGCTCGTCAGGTATCGGTCCCCGGGGTGGAGCCGGCTTGTCAAACCTCTCCTCTCGGGGAGGGTAAATGAGCTAGGGATTACAGCCCTCTTCCCCCCACGGACACACCCCGCACATGCTGCCGCCTGGACCGACCCACGCCGCTGGCTGTCCCTGCAAAACCCCCGCCGGCTCTCTCTGCGGGGTCACCTGCCAAAATACTGCCCTGGCTAGTGAAAACAAAGAACTTAATTTTGTTTGCAGTTCAGTATTGAAAGAAAGTTTTTTCAAATTTGTCCTAGGACACTGTCTGCTCTCTAACAAGCTATCAATTTTTAGCATCACTGCAAGCATCTGCTGCTGCCATGTAAATCTTCCCCTCGTAATTGTTTAAAAGTTCTACTGCTATTGTTTTAGCTTCCTCTGCAGCGGGCACACTAAAATTAGATGCCACATTTGTTCATTGTCTTCAAAATCCTTTCCACAGAACCAACCTGGCTCTCCACCAACTTGGGCATTCTGACCTGCATAGAATGTTCCGGCATCCACAGGGAAATGGGGGTTCACATTTCTCGCATCCAGTCTTTGGAACTAGACAAATTAGGGACTTCTGAACTCTTGGTAAGTGGGGGCCTGTACTTAGGAAGAAAACTTGAAGTTTATTGTCGTGAATACACCTAATAGATCGCTTTGAGGTTTCTGTTTCTGCTGAGGACAAAAATTCTAAATCCTGGATTCTGTTTAATTGGCACAGCTACTTAAAATGTGAATCTCGTCCTGTGTACTGTTGACTATTTCTGTTTCCTGTTTGAAGAACTGGTGAATCACGCACTTCCTTAATTAGTCAGTGAAACTGGCTCTTCTGGGGTGGGCTTTTTCCAAGCTGCTTTTTTCTTTTGGAAGCGGTTTTACATGATTCACTGAAAAGCAGTCCAGGGAGGTAGCTGTTGAAGTCACCTACCCACTTTACCCTAGGGGCTTATGTTGTTAAAAATGATGACTGTGGTAGTTTTCTCTCTATTTTTACTGTTTGTGAGTTTGTGAAAGTACGCATGCATGGAGAGCAGCCTGTCAGCTGCTGCCCGAAAACCAATCACTCCTTACCCCAGGACTTCTTCAGGGAGCCTGGGGAGGGCCGTGTGCGGGCGTGGGGTGAGCTTATAGCAGGTTTGAAAAGGGTCAGAAACCCTCCCATGTGCATATAACCCCACCCTTCCCATCATGATGCAGCCGTACTGGGGGCCCTCGTCGGGTCCAAGTTAAATGGTCCCCACAGGACACAGGTGAAGGTGGGGAAGCCCCCTGGGCGTGATGCCTTCTGGTCATGAGCCCCGTGTTGCATGATTTGAATCCAGGGCCCCGGGAGTAGTTATACTAACAGTGAAAGTGCTGGGAGTAACGCAGGGCTTCACCTCAGACAGAAGGCCCTTGGGCAAAAAAGGGGGACCAAGAACCTGAACGCCTGGCGCGTCACCTGCCCCGTCCGGAGCGGAGTCCCCCAAGGTCAAGGCAGTCGCCTGGCAGGCAGTCTTGGTCGTCTGGCGTGGGGGCCGGTCTCGTGTTGCGAGAGCCCCTTGTCTCAGGAGACAGGAAATTCGGAAAGTGTGCCGGTCCCGGGCTCCCCGCCCCCTTCAGGCATCGGATTGCGTGAATGCTTCTTGAACTGCACATAGACCCCAGATTACCCGAACGACCAAAGCACCTCCACGGCCACGGTCTTTGGGAGACTCTCGAGCCCAGGCGCAGCGTGCTCACCGGAGCCTCTTCACTGGCTGCCTGCTGCGTCTAAATCTGTGCCCGAACACACAGGAGCCCTGACTTCTTCTCTGTCGCGTGGAGCTGCCCCATCGAACGTGCCCGATGGCGGTTGCATAGCTGTTGCTGTTCGTTAAGCATTTGACCTAGATTCGTGTGGAGCCTGCTGTGTCTGGCTCCGGTAACGTGGGTGTGGGGCCGCGTCCTTTTCTGCGCTAGCGTTTATCACGCCGTGTTTGCAGACATCACTGGTGCTCTCCTCAGGGGTCCCTCCAGCCCCTAGTAAGTTCCTCCGGGAGGGAACGTGGCCTCCCGCCTCTGTGTTTCCCGCGCTCTGAAGCCTGGCACGGGACAAGTGCTCAGCAGATATGTGTTGGCCAGATGGATGGGTGGTTTGTATTCTGAACCAGGTGGGGGGAAGTACATACTCAGAAACCTCAGAAGCAAATAATAGAACCCTTCTAAACCAGGGGCAAAGAGTTTGCTATGCTGTGTTCTGTTTATGTTGCAGCTGGCCAAGAATGTAGGAAATAATAGTTTCAACGATATTATGGAAGCAAATTTACCAAGCCCCTCACCAAAACCCACCCCGACGAGTGATATGTAAGTACTTCTAATACCTTGAATTCTCTCCCCTTCCATCATTGTTTCTGAGCCCTCCCCGAAGCTTCCTGGTGGTGATAGCACTGTGCCCGCAGGGGAAACCACATGATGAGGAAAAAGCAGAGAGCTCGGAATTGCATTTCTGGAATGCACAGGTTATTTTCAGCATCGCCGGCCCCCAGGGAGTTGCAGCCGCTCGGGAGCATAAATCTTCACGGGGACGATTCTCTCTAAACCATGGCACGTGGTGATAAATAAGGGACACCCGAGCAGTGGGAGATGCCTGTCAGGCTGGCAGAAGTCCAGGTGCTTTACCAGCCCACTCAGCAAGACTGAGGGGAAACAAACATTCTCGACTGTCTCCCATGTCGCTGGTGGGGACGCGAGTGGCACGCTACCCAGGAGGAACCGACTGGCCGTGTGTACCGCAGTTGGAAACGCGTTTGCCTTGGCCTGAGCCGTCCCTCCTCTGGGGGTTCTTCCTGTCCCGTGATGGGCCGAGGTGGGGAGCAAACTCGAGCATCGCCCACGGGCCTCTGGTGGAGGAGTGTAGGGTGCGGGCTGCACGACTGCGTGTGAAAACGAGGGCTCTCCCTGTGTCCTGATTGGGGACGGGCCCCGGGGTGACTGCAGAGCAGAGCGGAGCACTGGGCAAGGCACACCGCCCTCGGGGCGAGGAAGCGGAGGGGGCGGCGGGCGAAAACCAGCGTGCCAGCCCTCTTGGCCGGCCAAGCTCAGGAGCTGAACTGTGGGTGGAGTCGCTGGTGAATTTCCTCACCCCGAACTCTCACCCTTTCCTCTCTGCACTCAGGCACCACATGGGTTCGGACAGGGACAAACACGTAAACACGTGTATTTGAAGTCGTGTCTGAAGAAACACGGGGACGTGCACAGGAGGCCCACATGCTTACTCGGGGGCGGGCGTACGCGGGAGACTCCCCCATCAGCACCCTTGGGTGTCATTTATGTGTTTGAGTCATGTGGCTCTTGAAACCTGTTAAAAAATTGTTACATTGGGTTCGCACTTTAAAAAGTTTTTTTTAATGCTGTGGATGAATAGGAGGAAGGATCGAGTCCCAGCCCGTGAGCAGGAAGGTGGTGTAGGAGCCGCCTGCCTGAATGTTTTACCCTCCCTCCTCGGAGGTTATTCCGGCGCCAGGTTTGCAAAGCAGCGAGACTGGTATGGGGGGCATCCGAGGGAAATGTTGTTTTCCCTCTGAAACCGTAAAATAAAATCTCCCAGGAGGCCCCTTGGCAGTTGACGTTTCGTGAATTCAAGAAACGCGTGTCAAGCGCTCACTCTGTGCCTCATCCCGTGTTAGCTACCGGGAACCAGCAGAACACGGACTAGATACAAACCCTGTTCTCACAACACCCGGAATCTGGAGAGGAATGTGGGCTGTGGCTCAGAAATGCAACAGTCAGCGGTGTGCTCGTAGCTGTGGCAGTGCCGCAGAAGGAAAGGCGGGGGTGCTGGGGGGCAGACGCGGCACCCTGACCTGTCTGCGGGCGGCAGGCTGACAGAGGTGTCCCAGCAGAGACCGCTCAGATGTCTGTCCGTCCTACACCAGCGAGCACAGATTACAGAGAACGAAGGCTTTGACGACAGCCTGTCTGCGCCACTGTTTCCTTACCTGCTGCGATCACAAAGTGAGGTCAGATGACGGAAATCCCTTCCATGAAGCTCTGCAAACTTTTCACTGGCCTTTCAGAACTGCTGTAACTTCTGCAGTTTTTCACTTGCCTTATGTACTTCGATGGGCCTGAGGTTGCAGTGCTAGCAAACTGTCTCACGCTGTTGCCCAGGGCGGAAAAGAAACCCGCTGGGATCTGCCTGCCCGTTAATTTTGTGCCTGTGTGCAGCCGCACGCTCCGGTAACTGTATCCAGGGCTCTCTGTTCCGTCTCTGCCAGAGTAACTTGGTCTACAACCTGGTGTGTTTGAGTGTCGAAAAGAAGTGTCTTAATTAAAATAACTACCTCGGAGAGAACTGTGGGCCTGCAAAAGTGTGCATCTTTCTTAGTTCTTGGAAAATAAAAGTACTCGGTCTCATTTTGCTGTCTTTCAGGACTGTACGGAAAGAATATATCACGGCCAAGTATGTCGATCACCGGTTTTCAAGGAAGACCTGTTCTTCTTCCTCCGCTAAACTGAACGAATTGCTGGAGGCCGTCAGATCCAGGGATTTGCTTGCACTAATTCAAGTCTATGCAGAGGGCGTGGAGCTCATGGAGCCGCTGCTGGAACCCGGGCAGGTGAGGCCGCCCTGAAGCTGTGGGGTTGGAAGGGATGTGGGCAGTCCGTTTCCAGGATGACTTGCGATTAGAATGAGACCTAGTGCACCGAGTGGCCCTGTCTAGATCAGGGCAATCTGAGAGGGAAAGGGGGTGCTAGTAATAAGTACTCTGGGGTGACTGAGGTAAAGGAAGCTGCTCTAGACAGAGCAGGACATGTGACCCCCACCCCCGTTTATACTTATCCTGCCCTTTTTAGGAGCTCGGGGAGACAGCCCTTCATCTTGCAATCCGAACTGCAGACCAGACATCTCTCCATCTGGTTGACTTTCTTGTACAAAACTGGTATGGTTTTTTTCTTGCTCCGAATATGCCTTGTAAGTTAACAAAGACCAGTCCTATTAGTGGCCTAGATCAGGAAGCAGCAAGCTTTTTCTATGAAGGGCCCGATACTGCTTCAGACTTTGCAGGCCGTGAAGTCTCTGTCGCTACTGCTGAACTCTGCCATATGAAAGCAGCCATAGATGACATGCAAATGAGTGACTGTGGCCATGTTCCAATAAAACTTTATTTACAAAAACAGGTGGAGGGCCAGATAAGGCCTACAGGCTATAGTTCGCCAACCCCTGGCCTAGATAAATGTAAAATCCTGTGTCTGGGCCCAAACCCTGCTGCATTAGGGTTGAAAAGGAGAAGGCTTAACCACTCAGGTCCACACGATGGTCATCATGAGACAGCAGTGTATGTGGCTGGTAGCTAATTTGCATTTGGGACATACTAATAGGAATATAATATTGAACACAGGAGGCTTAGACTTCCTGGATTCTTTATGGGGCAGATCTGTAAGCCACAGATCGTGAGGAGGAACTAGACCCCACCCAAAGGAGGGGGAAGAAAATAGTGAGGGCGTTTGAACCCACACGTGACCCCCGAGCCCTTACTCAGAGGTGCGGTGGTCGAGAGCGTTGGCTCCGGGTGCAGACCCCCGGTGTTCAGTCGTGATAATCCTCACTGTGAGCCCTTCATCCTCTCCGTGCCTGAGTGTTGTCACCTGTAAAATGAACGTTGTAATTGCACCTACCCCATCGGGTGTTTGTGAAGATGCAAGGAGATAAGACACGTGAAAAGCTAAGAGACAGTGTCTGTCTCATGGCATGAAGGAGACTCAGTACATGCTGCCTGCACTGTCACGATGTCGCTTGTCAATTGGGGTATAATATCAGAGACGCCATAACTGTATAATAGTTCTGAAACTCGAATCGTCGTTAGCGCAGATATAAGTGGTCGATCGGCAGTGTTCCATTGGGGAGCAAGTCCCTTTTTCTGACACTTTGGTTTTCCAGCGGGAACCCGGACAAGCAGACGGCGCTGGGGAACACAGCCCTGCACTACTGCAGCATGTACGGAAAGCCCGAGTGTCTGAAGCTTGTGCTCAGGAGCAAGCCCACCGTGGACGTCGGTAAGCGCACGGCCGGCCGGGTGACTCAGCGGCTGTCGGAAGAGCCTTTGTTGGCTAAAACCGAGACTGGCATCTCGCACTCCAGTCTATTCTTGTTTCTTGCCTTTTCAAGCTCTGTCCCAGATAATGATACACCTTTGTTTTCCCCTGATTTTAGTGAACCAGGCCGGCGAGACAGCCCTCGACATAGCCAAGAGACTCAGAGCCACCCAGTGTGAAGACTTGGTAAGCAGCCGTGGGCGTGGGGTCGCTAATAGACATCGGCCGCCCCCTCGGGTCACTCTCAAAACCTGGCGTGGGAGATACAAGCAGCAGATCATTTGTTGGAACGCTGGCTGAAGAAATGGAGAAGCGCACTGTGGCTACATTTTTTTAAAAATGATGAATTTGCCATCCGCTGCCTGAGAAGCGCAGTTGCAACGCAGGCGCTGGAAGGCATTCGGGAGGTTCTATTACAGACTGGCTTATGCCTCGGGGTCGTGCTTTCTGTTCGCCAGACCGTTGGGCTTTCTCGGTAGCTTGACAGCAGAGGCGACTTGTTTGGGAAGCCAGTTCCAAGCACTGGGCACGTGGAACTCAGAGTGCAGCGGCTTTTCAGCTGTTGAGCACCCTGCCCTCTTCCCTCTGTGCCCCTGGGCGCACCCACCTTGTTTTGATCCCAGTGATTGCTGCCCGCAACTCCACCAGGCCTGAGCAGAACTCGAATCTCTGGACTGCGGGGAGGGATGAGGTGGGGAAGATGAGCTCCGTGCCCCTGCGTTTCTGCTAAGTGCGGAGTTCCGGGCCCACGGTTGTCCTTTCTTTATTACTCAAGACTCCTCTGAGGAAGTTCTGGCTGTCCCTGCCCCTGCCCCGTGGACGAATGAGAAAAGTGGGGCGTGGACTGGACCGGGACTGTCTGGCTTTAAAGGTCCACCTCTCACACTTCACTGATTTCGCCTTCCAGCCGAGAACTGCCTGTTTTGAGACTCGTTTTTAACAATATTTAAGGAAGTTTTACATTTTGGAGAGAAGTCAACCTATCACACTAAAAAGGCCCTGCCTGTAATTTTCTGCAGTTTCTCTCAAGCCTGGCTGCTGGCCGTCCGGCTTGTACAGTCGGTTTTGCTCGTAACGTAGCTGCCGGTGGTTAACTTGGAACTAGGGGTGAGGCGGGTTTTCTCAGTGTTTCTGTCCTGCGGGCATTTGAATTAAAACGGCGACCCCCACTGTCACTCTCTTTCAGCTTTCCCAGGCTAGGTCGGGGAAGTTCAACCCACACGTGCACGTCGAGTATGAATGGAACCTCCGACAGGAGGAGATGGACGAGAGCGACGATGATCTGGATGACAAGGTGGGTGTCGGGGACGCCTCCGAACTTCCGAGCGCTCCCCCCCTTCTTCTGGGATGTGTAGACAGGACGCAGTCCTTGTGAGGTGGCGTTGGTCTTGTGACCGGATGGGCCGGGGCCACTTTCTCGGCTCAGACTGTGCTCCTTGGTGGGGGCCACAGAACAGCTGCATTCATCAGGGTTCCCCAGGGAATCAGAACCAGTAGGATGTGTGTGTGTAGAGCAAAAGCGTGGAATGTATTTCAGGCCACACACTCGTGAGGCCTGACGAGTCCACAGTGTACGGGGCAGGCCGGAAACCTCATTAGTCTGGAGCCTGAAGGCAGTCCGGAGTCAGAATCCCCCCTCAGTGGGGGACCGTGGTCTTCTCTCTCAAGCCCTTCAACTGACTGGGTGAGGCCCACCCACATGATGGAGGGTGACCCCTTTTGCTCAAAATCTGAATGCTTTGCATACTAAAAAATACCTCCAGAGCAACTCCTAGGCTGGTGCTTGACCAAACACCTGGGCACCGTGGCTTAGCCAGGTTGATACATAACTGAAAAAAGGGTAAGTTGCCGTTTATTGAGCACTTGAACATGGACCAGGCAGCAGTAAGCATGTCACCCACGTCGCCTCAGGTTGTCTTTAGCAAAGGCCCCCGTGGCCGTGTCACTGTCCCACGTCACAGAGGGGAAAACTGGTGCACACAGACCTTCTGCAGCTTGTGCACAGCCTCAGAGCTGGGAACGGTGGCCTCAGGCAGGGGTCCTGCCTGCTTCTGTCTGGCTCCCGGAGGTAGTTCTTAAACTCTCCTGAGGGTGCGCTCATGCTCCTTTCACTGGATATGGGCGCGGTGTTTCCCCCTTCCCTGGCAGGGCATAAAGAGTGGTCAGAGGCGGCCGTGCAGAGGTGTCCTGAAGGCCTTTGCCACTTCAGAGGCGGCACGCTGCGCTGTGCGGATCACCTGTAGCAGGGGCCGGGGGCGATGCCTGGGAAGCGCTCGGAGGACAGGGCCGCTGCCGCCGCCTCAGCAAACAGTGACGACCTCAGCGAGGAAGTTCAGTTGGAAGTGGGCTCCTCAGGGTAGGGAGGCACTTGCCAGGCCAAGAGGTGAGAAGGAGCGCGTCCCTCCAGGAAGGGAGAGCGGCTTGTGCAGAGCCCGGGGGTCACGTGGAGCCCGGGAACCTGAGGACAGGCTAGAAGCCCGGTGTGTGCGGTGACCCCCGCTCGGCTGGATGGAGAGAGAGAGGCAGGAGGCTGTGCTGCGGGGTCAGGCGGCCCAGGTCAGGAAGGCCGGGAGCCGGAGGGTTCCTTCACGGGACCCGGGCGAGGATCTTCCTGAGCCCGCGGTGCACAGCCTGGCGTCCCTGGATGCCGTGAGGTCCCTAACTTAGAAAGTTGCATGGGTGCCAAAGCTGTCCCCAGGAGTGCGGACACAAGGCCACACTGCCCAGGTGACTGAGAATGTTTGGAATCCAGGAGTTTGGAGTTGGATCTGCAGGTCTGCGTCATCAGCATGAGACGTCAGCCACACGGTCCACTTCCTTCCCTTGCACTGTGGGAGGTGGCTCTGGGGCGGTCGTCGTGGGTGACCCACTGCAGCCCAGGTTCCCACGGGAGCCGGCCCCGCAGCGGAGTACTGTCTCACTCACTGCCTGTTTGTCTCGTCCACCAGCCGAGCCCCATCAAGAAGGAGCGCTCGCCGCGACCTCAGAGCTTCTGCCACTCCTCCAGCCTCTCCCCGCAGGACAAGCTGTCCCTGCCGGGCTTCGGCACTCCGCGGGACAAGCAGCGGCTCTCCTACGGCGCCTTCACCAACCAGATCTTCGCCTCCACGAGCACAGACTCGCCCACGTCACCCACCTCGGAGGCCCCTCCATTGCCCCCCAGGAACGCCGGGAAAGGTACGGTCTTTGAGAAGGACCCTGTGACGCCATCCTCAGAGCCAGGAGTCCACCCGGCCTTGAGGTGGAGAGCACAAGGGGCCCCGAGTGCAGACTGTGATGGCAGTGCCAGCAGCAGGGCAGGCGGGGTTGAGGGCGCTCCTCGCACGTTCTCTCTCCGTGTTCGCCTCTCAGCGTCCCGCCCGCTCTGCGCTCTTAGTGCCCATGTTACAGGTAGGGAAACTGAGGCTCGGGAAGGTAGAGCGGCTGGTCCGCGGTCATGTAGCTGGGGAGTGGTCGAGTTGTGATTCAGCCCAAGGTCCACACGGGGTCCAAAACCCGGGCTCTTCCCTCGTCAGTGTGGGTGGGGTTTCAGTTCTTCGCAGTCCCGTTCCCCCGCGCTAGCTTGCATCTCCTCTGGCGCCGGTGGCAGGAGCGGTGGTCACAGCTGCGGGGCCCTGCAGGCTCCAAGCGCCCTTCTCAGTCCGTGCTCACCAGTGAGGGGGGCACCTGGGGGCTGGCACGGCGCAGACCAGGGGACCGTGGGTCAGAGGTGCCGAGGAAGTGCCGGGCATGCTAACCCAGGTCCTGTGCGACCTGAGCCCACCCTCCTGTGCTCTCTGACTAGACACAGCCTGCGAGACAGCCTGCGGCGGGTCCTCCCCAGGGGAGGTCACTGGGAGAGTGAGTGCGTCACATGCCTCCGAGGGGCTAGTGCCGGTGCCGACGGTCCCCACCCCGGTCCTAGCGACAGAGTGCTCGTCCTGTACCCCGAACCCACAGAAAGCGCCCTGCTCGGGAAGGCTGTGTGTCCCCCTGGACAGGGGCAGGTCGGGGCACAGAAATGCCAACATCGAAGGGCCCCCACGGTGGTGGGCGGGGGGGTAGGTTGAGAGGTCCCCTAAGCTGTACCTTTGGGCTGCGTCTCAGCCGGGACATCCGAACGCAGGGCTCTTCCCAGGCGCCCGGCTCACGCTAACGCAGGTCTCGGGGCCTCTCCGTCCACAATGCCGTGCCTATTTGAATCACACTGGGGCCATTTTCTGGGAAATGTGAGCTTTATTCACAACAGTGTTTCTTCTCAGAGCTGATTCTCCATTGAGATGGTGTTATAAATGGGAGCTGTGTTCTTAGAGGGACCCCAAATGGCCCCGTAGATCATAAAGTAACGGAGAGAAGTTAAATGAAGGCTTCGGCGTGACTCGCTGTCATCACAGATAACCAGTGACTGTGACCGTGACTGCACGTGGGAGCCAAAAGCTGCACCCGCCGGCGTTCCCCTCACTGTACCGTACAGGGGCCAGACAGAGTGCGCCTCAGTGAGGCGCCCAGCCTGTGCCCCCCACGACACCCCGGGCCACCGCAGCTCAGCTGGGCAGTGAGGCTCCCCAGGAGGGGAGCAGCCTGGGGAGACTGGGGCATCCCTTTCTCACCCCAGAGGGGACCGTGAGAGACCTTTAGGCCAAACCAGATGCTCGAGGAAAGCGCTCTGAGAGGGCTCCCGTCCCCTCGTCGTGGTTATCGACGTCGTGGTGACGGCCTAGCCAGACAGGTGACTGAGGACCTCGAGAAAGGTCTGTGGGAGAGGCTGATGCCGGAGTCCTGGGGATCGGAGTCTCCCTTACCCCTGCGCCCCTTTCCGTAAGTTTATCTCAAGGGGACACAACAAAATACACCGTCTGACCCGGGGCCCAGCGTGTCTCCGCCTTGAGTACATTCTGACCGGCTCCTCACCGGAGGCCCCAAAGACAAGGGGCGAGTTCGTGTGATGACCCAGCGGCCGAAACACGAAACAAGTCCTTAGGACTTGGCCATCCCAACCGTGGTCAGCCAAGGATAGACTGCCCCCCTCCACCAAAGCAAAGCCCATAACTGGGAAGAGAAGCCCCCCCTACTAAAATCCTGGCAGGCCCTCCGTGCGGAGGTCTGGCCTGCGCTGGGGAGACGCAGGAGCACAGCCCTCACGGGACTTCTGCAAGGGACCGACCTGGACTCCTCCTGCCTCTAGCCGGGCTCACGTGCCCGGGCACTCAGAAAGTGGCGATGTTTAGAACGGAGGCCTTAGCAGACGTGGCCGAAGAGCTGCAGAGGCTCTGCAGAGAGAGAGCTCCCCTCTGTCTTGTGGCCCTTCCAGTTTTTTTTTTTTCATTTCCTTCTGTTGAACCGACGGACCATTTGCGTGAAAACAAGGGTGTCTTGGCTCGACTGGGTGGCCCATGTTCCGGGGCCAGTCGGGCAGCCGTGTCTGCTTGCGGGAGCCGTGCCCGCCCTGCGAGCCGGGGCTCCGAGGGACAGTGGCTCCTGGGGAGGCGGAAGCAGACTCTCGGGCTCCGGTCCCCACTAATCAGGGCAGGACTGAGGGGAAAAGTAGAACCATTCTGAATCCAGCTCAGGAGGATTTTCCAGAAACCCCAGCTGCCTCATCAAAATGCAAGGGAGCTTGGCTTAAACGGCCTGTGAGCAAAGCCTCCTTGTGCTGGAGCGGAGCTCAGCCCGCGGCGGAAGACTCGGCCATTCAGAACCCCAGACTCGCCCTCCTGGAGCCGGAGACAGACACACTCGCTGCCTGCGCTCCCGTCAGACGTGAGGTCCAGCAGGACCAAACGAGAGCCGTGAACCTAAGTGTGCGGGAATTCCCCCCGGTAATGAGCAGCTCCCTCTGCCCCCGACTGGCATTTATCGAAACCAGAACTTCCTCAGGTTTCCCATCATTGGTTTGTCTTTCATCTGTAAGTTAAAATTAGGTCCGAGAACCCGGGTATTTGAGAGCGGGAAAGATGCTGAAAGATCATCGCAATCCACAACCCGCCTCGCGAGAAGGGAACTGAGCCTTGGGAAAACGGAGGACCTTCAGCTCACACGGTGGCTGAACGGGGACGGGAAATTAAACTGGGCCGTGGGACTCGTCAGACGAGGTCTCCTGGATTCGCCTTGTCCGTGTTGAGGAAGAGGGTCCATCTCTGTCTTGCCCTGCTCGCTGGTGGCATTGCTGTCAGAATCCAGGGGGACGGTCCGTGGAGAAAGCATTGCGTGAAACGGGGAGCCCCGCGCCCCTGCGGGAGGGAGACCCCTGCTGGGACGGTCAGGCTGCGGCTCTGGGCCCTCCAGGCTGCGCGCGGGAGGGGGCGGAGAGCAGCGTGAGGCCCCGCGGGCAGGCCCTGCAGGACAGCTGTGACTTGCCGCCGGCCTGCCCTCGGCGTGTGCCCTTCAGACTTGCCCGGGAGGCATTCCCCTGTGGGCCGCACTGTTCTCGTGCTAAGGGCGGTTTCTGGGGCTTTCTGTCTCATGGGGAGACAGCCACTCGAGTGGCTCAATTTTAAAGCTTCCTGTGGGCTGACTCTTGCTCGTCTCGGACTTGTTCGTTTCTTTGTTTTGGCCTGATTTTGTCTCCCCCAGTCCTTCATGACCCACCTGTCTCCTTGCTGGCCAAGACGGGGGCTGTGATTTCTGCCCCCGGCAGTGGACGCGAGCACAGGCTCGAAACTCGGAGGCCAGGACCGCCAGGGCGTGCAGGGGAAGCGGAAGACGTGCTGGTGTGCTCCCGGAGCACAGAATGCACGTGCGCCTGCTAGAGAGCCAGCCCGAGCCCTCGAGTCTGGCACTCTTCATTATCGGTGTCCTGCAGGGGATCGAAGGGCGAGTGACCAGCAAGAGCCGCGTTTGGTGTGTAGCTCTGTGTCACTCCAGGTGTCACACTGCCGCACGGTGGTCCTGATCGGGTCTGCTGATGTCTGTGGTGTCCGGCACACCCTCCACACTGTGCCTCGGTTTCCCCCTTTGAGCTCTGTCTACACTGTGAAAACCATTAGAAAATGGGGAGTTCTTCATTTGCATTTTCCAGCGTTGCATAGATGCAAGTTGGGAACACTGGAAGTATACAGACAGCTTTCCTTGCAGAGATTGTCAGGGTAATGTGTAAAGCCCTCTTCTGGGCCTTGTTTTCCTTTGAACAAGGTCTCCTTTTATTTGGTCTCCGAGCGTGGAAGACCTGGGTTTTCTGTTCTGCTAACGACCAGAGGTAGGAGGACGTGGGGAAAGAGCCCGCCCACCTTACAGCGTAGTCTCGGATGCCCAGAGGGCCAGGCACGGAGGGGAGGACAGTGCAGATCTTGCCCCACAGAAGCCAACAGCCAGGGAAAGGGGAAAGGTGGGCTCTTAGGCAGGTGCGGGACACGGAGGGACGTCAGTCCTGCTGGAGGTTCCAGGATGAGAGCAGCAGCTGGGAGGCAGAGGGGGTAGGGCAGAGGAGGCTGCAGGGGAGGTTAGAGCTCACCCCTGACAGCAGAGGATGCGAGGGTAGGGAGTGAACTCGGCTGTGTGTGGTGGGCCAGCAGAGGGGACGCGGTGCCAGGCGAGGGAGGGCAGCTGGAGCCTGGCTGTCCAGGCCGAGAGCCTGGGCTGGGGCCCCACAGCTGGGGTCCTCATCTCTCTGAGCCTTGGGTCTCTTTACCCCAAAAGCAGAGGGTCCTGACTGCAATATGTCAGTAAGGTGAGCTCCAGGTCATGTGTGTAAACCCCTGAGTGTTCGGTCAGGCACACCAGCCTCTCAGGAAATGACAGTTCTAGAGAGTTTAGGGAACCGAGGGGGAGATGTGAAGAGCGTGTGGATTGTGATTTTAGGAATGGGTTTGTTTGTTTTTTTAATTTCCCCATGTAGGTGTAGGTGGGTGATTTTTCAGGATGGTTTGTCTGGACGTGTGTGGATAGACCTCTTTGTTGTTAGAGACGGAGCCCTCTCTGGCGAGGTTTCGTTCCAACTACCCCTGTGGTCTGAGAATATAGTTTTCCCGTAGGGGGCCTGTAGCGCACAGAGGAAACACCAGTTCCCGGGAGAGCCTCAGGGAGTAGCTGCAGCCTTGTGGGCGTCGGAGTCCTGGGACCAGGAGAGTTGACCGGGGTTCGAGCCTGCAGACTGCCGTGCTGGCGCGGGAGCTCCCAGAGCCCCAGCCACATGCTGGGCCCCCCTCTGACGTTAGCCCTCGGGGAGCGGCGTCCCTGAGGTGCTCGTGCAGCACAGCCCTGGGGCTACGGTGGGGACCACTGGAGTGGGGGGCAAGGCAGACCGTCCAGGTGGAGGGACCGTGAGGCTGCTGCAGACACGGACAGTGGCCCAGGCAGGTGAGCCCTCGGGAGGAGCTGAGACACAGATGCTCTGTCTCCCCGAGAAGACAGACCTTCAGCTGATTTTCTAACTTGCCTTGTTGACAGTGGCTTTGGAAGACGGGGCCCACACTTCCAAGAAGAAGGATTAGAAGGTATTTTGACATAATAGCCACTATCAGTGTCTAGAGCAGTCTGGGAGTGTCCTTACTTCCTCAGGCCCCGTTCTAGTTACGGGGAGAAAGTCAGCTGTCCAAGTCTGCGCCCCGCCCCCCACTTGTTCATCTTGCCTCCTTTTTTCTGAGATTGTTTAATTTTGTTTGTTTGTTTTACTTTGTTTTAGCTTTATTTGGCCAGAATTGCTTATTTCCTGAATGAGGCAATACTGATAGCTGTTTTGCATACAACATCCTCTTTAGTGCTTAGAGACTAGTTACTCATTTTGAAAGTTTTCTGAGCTTGTTAAATCTTAAAAACAAACTAGATCTGCTTATCTGGAGTCCAGCAGGGTGTTTTTCAACCTTCTTCAACCCTGCCAGCCAAGAAGGTGTGGCATCTTCCCGTCCCGTAGCTTCTGTTACAGAACAGTAGGAAGGCCTGGCTGTGTTGTGTTTTCTGTGAAGTTAGACAGTAGTCTTCAACATTCCTCTTTGTACTTGACACTGTCCCCCTGCCCGCCCCCCCCTCCCCGCCGCTTTCTCTTTCTAAGTAAGATGTAAGTCTTTCTTAAGAATCAATCACTAGCCTTAACATATGGTAGAAGTTTGCAGTTTATTCATCCATTAACTCAATATTAAATTACTAAACTCAGGTTTCTTACACACCAGAGCCTGGTCCGCATAGGACCTGCGGGCTAGCGAGGCAGGCGGGCAGTAAACACGCAAGCAAAGGCGCAGCGCTACAGGCTGTCACAGCGGCTGGGACGAGTGCCTGCACTGAGAGGTGGGGCACTGACCCCTTCGGGTCGAAGTGATGGGTCCGGACGTGTGGTTTTGCTTGGTTTGGGGTCACAGGACGGCTCTGGTCTGACCACTCCTGACGTCTTGTGCACGCACAACCTTGATTCGAAGACATCACTCCATGAGCGTTTTTGTCTGGGGGTTTTTGTTTCCGGGCGGGGTTTGGAACCGATTGAATGACCTTTCAGATGCAGTGCCTCAGCCAGCCCCTAGGTGGTGGTAGAGATGAACTTGCTGGAGAAACTCACTCATCATTGTCTGTCCCCTTCGTTCATTTCCACGAGGAAAGTTACATTTCCTCACGAGCATTTGTTGCTGTCTTTCTCCTGAAATGCCGCCTTGGCTTTCGGAAACAGTAACATGGCGTGACAGGGCGCGCTCCTCACTGTCCCCACGTGGCTGTCACCTCGCATGACGCCAGGCCCCCACTTTCCTGGCTGCAAAGTCGGGGCCGTGATTCCCTGCCCACGCACCTCACCATGTCGTGATGGAAATCCGGGGGAACCGCACATACGGACACATTTTGAAAACGACAAAGCATTATACAAGGGCTGCATCATATCACAGGGCTGTGATAACAGTGGCTTTCCTATTGCAAAAGTAAAATGGTTTCTGAGACTGCAGTGACTGGTGTCCTAATGAGGCGCTGGTTGGGGTGATGGTCAGGCTTCTCCCATGGGCTGTCTCAGCACCGAGCAGGTAAATTGGGTACCCAGGGCCATGGAGTCCTCACGAGGTTAACAGCAGTTACGTCCAAGACCAGACTGTCTTTGAGGAGCAGTGGGAAGTGTCAGAGCTTATTCTACGAAGGAAGGAGGCCGGCAGTCATTAAGCTTTTCTTTCCACACACAGAGTGTAAAAAGCTCTTTTGGAGCCGTTCTGGATCCCCAGGTATCTACCACCCTGTGTTACACATTGGGTGTGGCAGTGCTCTTAGTGTTTCTTTGTCTCTTTCTCTCTTTTTTTTTCTTTTGATGCTTGTGGAAGCAGTTACCCCAGTGAGAGTCGCAGACGAGTGTTGAAGTGCCCAGCGAGTGTGCCTGGCACACACCGGCCACTTCCTGCCACTCTGCACCGACACAGCGAACACCCGCTCCCACTACAGCTTCTGCAAACTCTTTCTCTTTTCTCAGTTCAAAAAAGTCAACTTTTGCAGTACTGGGGTGTGTGTGTGTGTGTGTGTGTGTGTGTGTGTGTGTGTGACAGTAGGATTACCGCTCTCCGGTCTTAACCTCTGGAGAAAGTTGCTTCTTTTTAAAAAATCTCTAGACATCGATATGATATAGTAGGTGGTTTATGATTTCCAGAACAGTAGTCAGAATCGAAGGAAACAAGAGTTTTTTGGATTTCTCTTTCTCCTGAGTAGCTCTTTCCATTAGATCCGTGGTTGTTTGTGAAAGTTTTTAAAAAAACTCGGGCACCGTTCGCCGACCGGAGGAACACGCTGTCATGAGGAGAGAGCGCGCCCCTGTGCACGCCCGCCCCCCGCCCCCACCCGTGGCCCGTCGAGGCCGTGGCCCACGCTCCGCTCTTTCCCCGTCGACGTCCCTGGCGGCGCATGTGCCTTCTTCCGCGGTGGGTTCCGTGACGGTTCCGGGGACTTGCCGGTGTAACACGTGGGTTTTCTTTTTCCATTGTACCTATGTGGCCACGCGTGTTAGCGTGGCGTCCTGTTCCATAGAAGCACACCTTCACCTTACCTCCGTTGTCCCTTCCCTGGCCCTTCCCACCCCCAACAGTCCGTGCCAGCCCCGTTTGCCAGCCCCTGGGCTGATGGGCCCGGCCTCGCGCCCTCGTCCCCTCTGCGCCCAGCCACCCTCGGGTGCGGGAGCGACTGCGTACTGGCTGTTCCGTGAGACTGGGATTAACCTTCCTGCCCCGTTCGGTTCCTTCTAGGTCCAACCGGCCCGCCTTCAACACTCCCTCTAAGCACCCAGACCTCTAGTGGCGCCTCCACCCTGTCCAAGAAGCGGCCTCCCCCCCCACCGCCCGGACACAAGAGAACCCTGTCCGACCCTCCCAGCCCACTACCTCACGGGCCCCCAAACAAAGGCGCAGTTCCTTGGGGTAAGTCATCCCGAAGTCGCGGCCGGCCGGCGTGCGGGGCCCGGTGTGCTGTGCACACCTAGCGCACGCAGCAAACGGAGCAGGCTGGGCACGCGCCGGGGGGCGCGGGGCGTGAGAGTGCTGTGTCGCCAGGGAAAGCCAGATCCATTCTGGAAAAGATGCAGGGCCATTTAAAGACTAGATCCTGACGCCAAGGGGCTGGGCATTCCCCAGGCACCAGACGCTGTGCTAATCCGCCAGCCCTCCAGGAAACCTCACTATGTCACGGTGTCTGCTCCGTGAGATACACAGCGTCAGCCTGGTTGACAGATGAGGAAACCAAGGCTCAGGAGAGACGAGTCTTTCATTCTGCTCTTTCCTTCAGCCAGAACGGTTTCCTTAGCAGACAAACCATTCACAGTCAGTGCTCACCCTGTGCTTCGGGTCCATGCGAACACTTACTCCAGGATATAGTAGAGGGGTCCCGGTCAGGCTGTCACCTCCCAGCCCTTTCCTGCCGCAGCTGTCTGTCACCTGGCCGGGGGGCGCACCAGGCTCTTTCCCTCCTGGGGCTGTCACACCCCTTCACGCACTGGTCCCACCCCTTCCTGGCTTGCCTGTCCGGGTCCCGGCCCTCCTCTCTGAAGCCGCGTCCTCCCGCCTGTGTCCTCCAGCCCACCCCGTCCCGGTTGCCGAGTGTCGTGTGTGTGGTTTTCGGTCTAAGTTCCAGGCGAGCAGGGACCCTGTCTGCCTGCCTGCCTGCTTGCTTTCTGGGTTCGCGGGGCCTCGTGTGGAGCCCAGGACAGGGCAGGGACTCAGTGGTCACTTGAGGATAAGTTAGCCTGCTCAGAGTGGGTTCAGTTAACCGTTCCAGTGACACTGACTGCAAATCACAAATCTCCCTCCACGAGAAACATGATTTCCATCTTTGTCTGCCTTTTTGGCTCAACAGAACTCTCCACTAGCCTGTCAGCAGTTAGGTTCAAGAACAGGCGTGTCCCCAATGCCTAGCAGGGTCCTTGCCCACAACAGGGACACGTAGCTTTGCATGTGCCACGCCTTCCTTCCAGGGGGTTCTTGTGGCTTTCTGGTTGGTGACTGATAGGTGAATTGGCTGAATGCTTTTAAAGGCCTCCTCAAAAACCCCTATCAGGTGTTCTGAGTTACTGGAGTTTTGGGGAAAGCCGTCCTGCCATTTGCAAATTGGCACACCTGTCTGTCAGCTAACGCAAATGCCCAGGTGTGTGCGCAAGTGTGTCTATGTGTGTGGCCACTCGGCATCCTTAGGTGCCTGCTGTTGGGGTGTCCACACACACGTGGAGCTCAGGGGCTGGTGCAGGGGGTGGGTGAGGAAAGAGTCCTCACCCTGAGAGTTGACGTGTCCCCCAGATACCAGGGGTACCTGCGCGAGAAGGCTCCGCAGAGCAGGCGACGTTTGCCGCGGGTGTTCAGGGGCTAGCTCCCGGCCGCGAGGAGCCAGGGAGGCAGCGGAGGGCGCCCCGCCGGCACGTCGACACCAGGGTCCTGGCGTCTCCAGAGGCTGCGCTCCGGGGCCCTCAGCAGTCCCCGGTTGCATCCACAGGGACGGTCCCCAGATGACGTTCCGTTGACGGTCACAGGCTTCCGTGCAGATTTTCATAGTGCAGATTACAGCCTCCTCTTCCGATTTCACTGGACGTCGATGCCTCTGTTTGCTCGGTCCTTATCCCCGTGGCAGGTGTGCGGTGCCTCCGTTCCCTCGCAGACGCGAGCGCTCCGCCGTGAAACTGACTGCAGGTCCGTCTCCCGGCTCAGGAACCCACCCCCCTTTCTTAGGTCTCTCTCACCTCCCTCGGCAGTCGGACGAGCAGCTGGCGCGCTTTTGTTTGTTTGGTTTGGTTTCTGGATTTTTGTGGATAAAGGGCATTTTTCTCTAAACAGAGCTGCCACTTTATGAGAGAGAGTCAGTGCCACCAGCTGGGAGCGTTCAAGCCTCTCGGAGCCGTGGGCACCGAGCCGTCTGCTGGGCTCTGCCCCCAGCTGGAGCCTCGCACCCACGACCGGTCTCGGGGACAAAACTCAAAGCCTGTCTGCATCCAGAGCGACAGTCGTCCATGCCGCTGACTCTGGTGGTCACGCTCAGACCGCCCCACGTGGTAGTTCCGGGGCGATAGGGCCGTGCCTGTGTTGAGGCGTGCGCACATGTAGGACACACACTTAGAGGCAGCTCCAGCAGACACAGGCCATGGCAGGCACGGGCACACACAGCTGGACCTCCGCGGGCAGGTCGCGCCGTCCTGACCCTGGCCTCGTGCTTCTTTCTGCCAGAGCACCGCCACTCAGTTCTGTCCCCGTCTGTCTGCCCCTGGCCTTGATCCAGGGGCCGGAGGCGGGGGCCAGACTGGGTGTGCACAGAGCCCTCCGGGCAGCAGACTCCGGGCAACATCTGATGCCCGCAGCCTCCCTGCGGCCCCGTCATCCCCCGTGCTCCCTGACCTCCTGAACCCCCCCGCCGTCGGCACCAGGTGTGAGAAGTGGTACAGGCACAGCCGCCGGCTCTGCCCGGGCCTCACCTGCTGACCCCTGAAACGGGACCTGCCTGTCATCTTGTGCCCCGGGTTCCCAGACTGCATTCCTTCCCCTAAGACCCCACTGAGCCTTTGCTCGCGCTGTGACCTCAGCCTGGAATGCCATACTCGCATGTGGTGGTGCTGAGGCATCCTTCCAGGTCTGCTGTCCAGGGATGTGCCGAAAAGGCCGTGCCCAGTTCGGCCACCACCCCCTCCCACTCTGCGTTCCTGTGGCCCAGGGTTGTCACGGCGGTTCTGCTTGCCTCTCAGGCTCGCCCCGCTCATTGTGAACTCCTTCCCAGGGTGCGTGCGTGTGCGGTGCCCGTCCCCGTGGAGCAGCGTGCTCCCGTGTGGCCCCTGTGTCCCATGCCTAGATTCTAAGCCAGCTCCAGCCCTGGGCTTTCAGCAAGTGTCTTTGCACTGTTTCATACCTCAGTTTCTCCAGCTGTAAAACAGGCTGGTTAGTAGTGCTCACCTAATTCTTAACCGCATCCACCCGGTTGGAAACACTGGGACTCAGAAGGGTTACCCACCCCAGGTTCTCCTGGCTGGGCAGCGGGGAGCCTGCGCGCCCCACCCTCTGGCCTGCAGCGTTTGCACGGCGCGGCTCCGGGATGCCACTGGCCTCCCCGCCTCCGCACCGGTGTGTCTCTCTCTCCGTGGGGCGGAGACGGGAGGAGGTGGCCCAGCAGGCCGGCTCCATCCCCCTGGCTGTGGCTCCCTGTCCGTCTACAGCGCGGCGCCCTGGTGTGCGGGCAGGGCTGCTCCAGGCTGTGTCCCTGCCAGAACCTCGGTGCCCGCAGCCCCTGAAGTACCCCCTACGTCACCTTCCTGAAGTCCCACGGCCATCTGTCTCGGGGGGGCGGGGAGGGGGACAGCCAGGACAGGCTTCTGAGCAGGAACCAGGCCTCTGGGCAGATCTGGGTTTTGTGGGGCTTTGACCTTTGGAGCCTCGTGTTGTTAAATCTCACCTTGGGGGATAAAATACTTTGCTCATCACCTACTTTTAACAGACCAACACATTTTAACACAACTTAAAGTTAATAAGGAAATGAGGTCCAAAGGAAAAAATATAGGTAGCAAAGTAACAAAGTCCAAAAGTGTGATCTCGTCACAAAACACGTAACATACAGTTACAAACCGTGGCTAAAAATAGACTACCAATCTGACACTGAGGTGGTTACAGGCCGGAGCAAAGAAAAAACTCCAATTGATTATCAGTTCATGGAGGCCGTGTGATTAACCCTCTTCTCACACTTGAAAGTCAGATAGTTAATACCTGGGAGCATTCCCCCCAGGACCTCCATCCTCTGGCAAGAATTCAGAGAAGTACCTGCGATGCCCAGTGTGGGAAACCAGACGTGCACTGAAGGAACATTCTAGAAGCCCAAGTTCTGGTGTCCAAGTGCTGGAAATCACTTACATTCCTCAGTCTGGCCACTGGGATATGAAGTTTTATGATCTTCTTCTTAATGTTGTAAACAGTGGATGAAAAACTATCCCACAATTTGATTCACTTCTCATATTTCCAGGCTAGAACCACCAGGTGCAAAGGCCCAGTATTTAAAGTGTCTGATCTGAGGCGTGCATACCTAGTTATCGGAATTCGTATTGGCTTGTACAAGAGCCTCTGGTTAGAAATTTCCTTATTCTTCGCTTTTCTTGGATTTTCCAATATGTTGGGTTAGCTAGAAAGGCCGTTTAGTTTTTTCTGTAAAATAAAAGACACTTTTCTATTTCCACCAATAACGTTATTGAGTTGGATATTTTGAGTATGCCGGCTCTCTCCTGCTATTGGCTTCTGGTGGGCAGAGTCCAGGGGTGCTGCTAAACATCTTCCAATGCATAAGGCAGCCCCACGGCAAAGAGTCATTCGGCCAAAATGTCAATAGGACCAAGAAGCTTCACAAACCACTTCTGACACGTTCGATCGGTCACAGCACCTTCTCCATACACTGCACAAATCTCTTTTTGCATTTCAGTTGTGTTTTTACCTTTCTTGTAATAGTGAAGCATAATGTACCTGAAAATGTTGCTTAGTTTCCCCCATCTTCAATGTTAAAATGGCTACATAATAGTTCACCAATATCGATGTTTTTTTTTTTTAATGCATGCTGATAGGACAGCTGTCGCAATACAATGTAACAAAACTGTTTCAAATGAAGTTAAAGACAAGTAAGCGTTGCTAGAGCCATCGTAAAGGAAAAGCTACATGGACTTTTTGGCTGACCCAATGTTACCATGTTTGCCCCCCACGACCCAAACCGTGTTTTGCGAGCAGTCGTAGACATGATAATGACTTCAGCCGCTCGTAGATTGTTTGCGAGGTGCCGGATGCCGGTCACTCATCCGCACACTGTTTAGCCATCACGGCCATCCTGTCGGACAGGGACTGTTGTCGTCCCTGGTTCACTAACGAGGATTTCAAAGACCAGAGACGTCCCCTGATTTGTGCCATATCACGAATCCAGGGGCTGGAGAACTGGCACTTGAACTCGGCTGCTCCAGAGAACTCTCGGAGCCTCTGTGCCAGGCACGCTGGGCCAGTGCCTGCCTGTGTCCCCACAGACGCTTGGCCCCCCGCTTCTGAGCTGGAGTGAGTGACCACAGCTTTCCGTTGCCTGCCCAGCATCTGTCTTCAGCTCTCTGCAACACATCTGTAGGCTACACTAGGTCCTTTTCCCAATTGCACAAAGAGGAGAGAGGATGGAGCTGCTTCTGTGTTTTCGCTCCTCCCTCTAATGCTATCCTATTCTCAGAAGTTTTCCTAAACCACACTTCTCCTCCCAGGCATGGCAGGTGGCCTTCGGCCCGCTGGGAGCGCGAGGGGGTTCCTTTCTTCCAGGCCACTGGCGCCTCCCCAGGTGTGGGAGGAGTGGAGCAGAGGGCAGAGTCTGCGCTGCAGGCCCTGCCTCCATTCATGGGGCACCGAGTGGCCGCCCATGCCAGGCACTGGCCAGGAAGCGGGTTTCAAGACGAGCAAGGCAGACTCCCTGTCTTTGAGATGCGTGTTCGTCAAGTAAAGCATGTCTTTACATTCCGCGTCGAAGAACTACGAAGGGCACCGAGAACGCTGGGTCAGGCTCCCTGGGGTCCAGCACCGTGCTCCGCCCTCCAGAGTTTCTCTCTCGTGATGTCCATGCCCATCTAGTGGGGCAGGGACTCTCGTTCCCATTTCATAGACGGGGACTGAGGCGTCACAGAAAAAGCCGTGGAGCCCAGACTCACGCCCGCTGGCCGGCGGTGCGGCTGGAGCGCCGACCCGGGCCTGCCTGGCACCCGCATCTGCACCCTGCGCCACTCTTCTGTGGTCAGTGGGTGCGGGCACTCGAGGCCCAGCCCAGGGGAGCAGCCGGACTCGGCTGCGTGCGGAAGGAATCTCGGAAATGGCTTTGCAGGTGTTCTTTGAAAGTCACATGAGAATTTGCCGCCAGTGGGAGGGGAGGGGTGCTGAAGGAAGAGGGAACAGCGGGGGCTGAGTCAGAGAGCCACCAACACACAGGCCCTCGGAGGTGGGGAGTCGCCACGAGTGACCAGAGAGCATTCTGTCCAGGAGCCCATCCTCACATTCCGCCCGCCTCTCCGTGCCCGGTGCGTTCAAGGGACGGGAGGTGCTGGGCTGTGGTGCTTTAGTGCAGACCCTGCAGGTGGGCCCCTCAGCTTGGTGTCCCAGCTCTGACCCTTGCCAGCCACTTGACCTTGGGCTTGGCTTGACTTCTGTGTGTGTGAGTGATTCTTTTTATGCACCTCGTGAACCTGGTTACTGGAGTCAGTGCTGAGTGAACAGTGGTTGCCTTTGTCATGCTATACTGGGGGGTCATGATAGGTCAGGAGGAGCACCCAGGCGTGTGGCCGGGACGTTCAGGTGCAGCCTCTAGCCATGGGGCCTAGAGCCGTTCGCCCACTTGACCTTGTTTCCTCGTCTTTCATGTGAGAATGATGCCAGGTCCTCGCGTCCCTGTGAGGAAGAAAAGCACCAGGCCCCTGGAGTGGGCACCCCAGGCAGGGAGCATGATCAGCCCTGTCCACTCCTGTTTCAGAGCCGCCCCATCCAGCGCCTTGCCAGTGCCACCCGGGAGGGGTCATGGGTGTCCAGGTGGGGCAGCAAAGGGCTGTGTTGAAGGAGGACACTTGGGTTTCCAGAGCAAGGAGGCGGACTGGGGCCCAGCGACAGCTGCAGGCTCCCGGGTTTCTCCTGGGCGCCCGGCAGCCTGGCCTGGGACGCCCTGCGCTCCCCCCGAGTGGAGCGGGTCACAGAGGAGCCACGTTTACTGCAGCTGGTCTTCCCCTTCTGGGCAGAGTGCACGGTCTGGTTCTGGCTCTTCCCCGTTAGAAAGTGCCGCGCTGTTCAGGGGCCACGTCCCCCAAAGATGACCACCCACCCTCCCCCCAGGCCAGTTTGGACACTGCCTCTTCTCTGCACCCAGCTGGTCCCACAGTACTCATGTGGTTTGTAGTGTCTGTCTCCCTGGCCAGCACTTGAACTCTGCCAGAGCAGGAGCGTTTTATTTGCTTTTGTGCCTCCTGTTACGCACTCATGCCCTGCACATAGTAGGTGCTTAGTAAATGCTAACATTTGCGTGAATGATGAGTGAGGCAAGTGACTGAGGGCCGTGTCCCGCGGCCGGCCAGCCGCCGCCGCCCTGCTGAGCCGCGTCTGCACACGCCCCACTGTGGGTCGTGTGTTTCTCCTGAGTCTGGGCTCTCCCGGCCAGGGGCTCCTCTGGCTCCGGTCTTCTGAAGGCTGGGACCTCGGGGGGCCCGTCTGCCCAACCCCGTGTCCCCGGTTCCACTTCCCCTTCTCAGGACGCAATTTTTCACGTTCGACTTTCCCCGCAGGTAACGATATGGGTCCAACATCATCCGGCAAGAGCGCAAACAAGTTCGAGGGACTTTCTCAGCAGTCGAGGTAAGCCACCTCCGTCCTCCTGGCGGGTAGTCGTGGTGGGCGGAATTGCAGGAACGGGCTTCAGTGACAGTCTGCCCCAGGCATGGCCCACCGGCCGCGTCCCTAGTCTCGGCCCGGCGGCTCTGCAGACCCCGCTTGCGAGTGGACCGCTCTCCCCCACCTGGGCTCCAGGTGCGCCCGGCCCACACGTCTCGGAGTCACACGGTCGGTCAGAACGAGATTTTAGTTTTTGATTTTTTTAAATGAAGGCATTGCGTTTTGTTCCTTTCCCTGCTGGCTCCATTCTGCAGCCTTGGGGATGGAAAGACAGCCCTCAGTGACCCCCGACAGCCCAGAGGTTTTCAAACGTAAAAATGTGACTTTCTGAAAGTTCCCTGGTGGGGAGTTGCTCCGGCCCGGCTGGGAGCAGCACCTCTGTGTCCTCTCCTCTCCCCGACACGGGGGCTTGGGAGCGCTCCGGCGGGCAGCACTTACCCAGCCCCGGCTGACGCACGGGGTCTTCTCTGGAGGCGCAGCCGGAGGAGGACACCAAGAGCCACTTCCAGGCCTGGAACCTCAGGGACGGGGAGTCGGGGCGGGGGCGGGGGGGCGTTGCTTTCAGAGTTTGTCCAGGATTCTTTGAAAAAGCAAAAGCCCTCATTTCTCTTCCCGCCACCATCGTGTGTAGTCCGCACAGCCCCGTGCTGTGAGTACGACGGGGCGGGCCCCCTCGGTACCGCGCTCGCTGTCGCCGAGGGGGAGGCAGCCCCAGAGGCTGAGTGGTGGCGGTGCTCGGCACCGGACTCAGACCCCCGGCTCTCCAGGCTCCCTGTCCCCAAGTCCCCTCCCCTGGCACCCGGCCTGACAGGGCCTTAGAAAAGCACCCCAGAAACGTCTGAGGCAAAGCCCTTTGGCGTTGCCCTGACCAGCGCGGCCCAGTTGGCTGGGCACCATCCCGCAAGGCAAAAGGCTGACAGTCTGATCCCCCGTCAGGGCACGCACCTGCGTGGCGGGTTCAGTCCCTGGTCAGGGTGCGTACAAAGAGCCGACCAATAGGTGTTCTCTCTCACGTCGATGTTTCTCTTCCTGTGTTTCTTCTCCTCTCCTCTCTTTAAAAATAAATATAACCTTTTCTAAAACATTAGAAAAGAAAGCCTTTGGCATCTGCCATTTCCAGTCCAGTAGCGGCTGTGTGTCAGCAGCGGGGCGGCCCCCAAGGAGCCCAGAGGCAGGCGGGGCTCCAGGGAGCCGGGAGGGCGTTGAGACCGAGGGCGGCGAGCGGGCGGGGACGGGAGAAGACCGGCACGTCCTCCCCTCTCTGATTCGGCGTCCGTCTGGCCGGTTTGGCTTTCCCTGTCCTTTTAAGTACAGTTAGGATAGAAGGGAAAGCAGCCAGTTCTGAGGACACGGAAGGACAGGAAAGGAGAAGCGAGCGATTGTGGAGAGCTCTTGGCAGGCAGACACGGGCACTTGGCTGCCGTGGCTTTTGGGGTCCGCGGCGCTCCCGTGTCCCGAGAGCGGTTGGGGCCTCTTGTCAGAGGGAAACATCGGACTCCAACGAGTCCCACAGGTGCCACCTGCAGCGCGGGCGTTTCAGTGGTGGCCAGGTGCGGGGGTTGGCATTTGGCTGTTCGGGGCACTAGCAGACCTCCGTCCTGGGGACCTGGGCCTGTTCCCTGTTCACACGCCCCCCCAAAGGAGGCAGAGCTCAGGGACGTGGCGGCCTGACACCCCAGCCATTCCCTTCGGAGGGCGCAAGGGCTCCGGAGTCCATCAGAGCTGGGGCTGGGTTCCCGTGTCCACCAGTGACCAGCCTGAGGACCTTGTGCCTGTCACTGCGGTCACCTCATTTGAAAATGAGGGCGGCGAGGGGCACGCTGTGGGGTCCGGTGAGATGAGATACTTCTCTGTGCCACACTGGGGACACGGTCTCGAGTGCCACGTGCCTCCACAGACATCACTGGCCCCGGGCCGAGGCCTCACGAGGAGGAAGGGTGGCCCGAGTCCCCCAGAAACAGCCTTCCGCTCTCCTGCCCAGGCAGGCACACCTGCAGTTGCGGGAGAGGGACGGTGACCTCCGGCTGAAGGAACGTGGAGAGGTCTTTAGGTAGTTCGGTGGACCCCTGGGATTGCCTGGAACGACCTGTCACTGCTGACATTGTAGCACTTTTCGGTCCTAAATGATTTTTTTTTATTAAATTAGCACTGCTTCTGCAAAGACTGCACTTGGTCCAAGAGTTCTTCCTAAACTACCTCAGAAAGGTAAGCCGTCTCTTTGCAGTCTCCACGTGTGCCGAGAGGGTCGCCGTGCCTGCGGAGGGGACAGTGTTTCCGTCTGTCCCGGCCACAGATGCCTGAAGCGGCACCCGGCATGAAGGGAACGCCCGATAAGTGTGTTCAACAAAGAGCATATCGATAACCTCAGGTTTCGTGTTGAGCAAAGCACCTCATTTTCCCCCAAAAAGTACTCTTCCAAAAGGCACATCACGAGACCCCCAGGGCCCACGTCTCCTCCTCTGCAAAGCTAATCAGAGAGACGGGCACCCGTTCCAGCCCTCCCACTCCCGGGCCTGGGGCCTGGGCGGGGCCCAGGAGCTCCCCCGAGTCTCCAATTCCTCACCCGCACGTGGGACAAGGATGCCCCCTTCCTGGGCTTCTGACAGGACAAAGAGGGTCCTGCCTCCCAGTGCCCCGAGCTAGTGGGTCCCAGGGATGGCGTCTGTCATGCCAAGTGGAGACACGCGTGCTCGCCGAGTAGGAGACGGCGGAGTCTCCCAGCTGCTGCCTGGCCGGGGCAACGCCCTGCTGTCTGACCAGATGTGTAATTCTGGCCAAGCTTTGCATTGGGAAGACCGAACTGTCCATCTTCCCTATCAAGCAGACATGACAGTGCCCATCCGTTTGTTGCAGTGCGGGGGCATTTGGTTCACTCCATCTGCCTCTGCCCTCCCGGAGGCCCGCAAGGCCAGCAGGGCCCACACTAGGTGCAGACGGAGGCCCAGAGGAGCTTGTGGCTGTGTCCTGGGTTTCCTGCCAGTGGTGAGACCTTTGACCCCAGAAGCCAAACTAGGGATGCATGGCGGGAAGCTGGAATTCAGCGCTCGCCCAGAGTCTCCCGGCCGGCTGGCATCTTCGGAGGGGCGGGGACCCGTCGGGCCTGGTTCCGGTGCAGGAAGACCGGGGGGTCCCAGGTGGCTGTGTGCCTTCTCCTCGGAGTGCAAAGGAAGCCTTCCCCCAGGTTTACTGAGTCTGTCCCTAAAGTCATGGGGCTTTCTGCTTTTAACCTCTGCCCAGGGGGCTGCCCGATCTCGTAAGTTGGAGCCCAGTATCACAGCCCTGTTCCCACTTCTCTAGAGTCTGCGCCATCCAGCCCGCGGGGTCACCGTTGATCACGTGCCCCCGTGGGACCTTGCACCTACCTGCCTACGCAGCTCACAGTCCCAGTCCCCTTCGAGCCCTCCCCGCCTCCCACCCCTGCAGCCTGCCTCCCTCCCTCCTGATGCTGCCCTGTGCTGGCCCCAGCTCCCTTGCCCGGCGCTGGGCCTGGCTCCCAGGGCCTGGGTGTGGCAGGGAAGCACAGTCGGGGGAGGTCCTGCCCGGCCTCGGCGCCAGCGGCCCTCCCCCCGCAGGACGCCGTGCAGCCCGGCTGCAGGGGAAGTGCGGGGCGCTGGCCTGCCCTTCAGAGTGCGTGCAGGCCGGGGAGGAGCCTTCATGGCCGCGGGGAGAACGCAGGCCCAGCTGGGAAGTAAAACAGCAAAGGCTGGAGGCTCTCCTAGAGCAGAGACTGTCTCTTCTGATTTCCTTTCTCATTACAAAAGTGGCGTACATTCATTCTAGAAGACTTGAAAAATACGGAAATGCAAAAATGTAAGAAAATGCGAATCACTTGAAGCCTTCCCACCAGGGTAAACGAGTGGATCTCTCCTTTCACTCTCTGGTTTATGCTTGTTTAGGTTCCCATTTAAGCTGGCTTTTTCTCAGGGTAACTCAGAAACATTTGCCACAACATGAATTACATAACAGGTGGCTTTTACTGGCCGCGTAGTATTCCATCGCCTGGCACCGCGCAGGGGAAGCAGTCTCTGTTCCTTGGTGCGCGCAGTCTGCTTTCCTTCTGCTGGCTGGAGAGCACGCCATGCTGCGCGTCCTAGCAGAGACCGCTCAGGGCCTGGCCTCGACGCCTTGTTTAGGAGGAATGGGTAGGATCAGAGCTACATATTTGGAGGGTTACGGCCGCCCAGCACTTCCTCACGGTTTCTGTTCCCCCGGAAGTGTGACTCACAGCAAGGCTTTCCAGGCAGTCTGTCCCGGGGATCCCCCGGGTTTGCCCCCGTCGCTCCCTGCCTCAGACATCTGCTCTCCCAGCCGCACCAGCTGCGGCTCAAGGCCCAGCCCACGTGCACGAGCGTGCCCTTGAATTTGAGTTCCCTGGGACGGACGGGGGCTGGGTAGGCCGTGGGTGGGAACGGCCGCAGTACGGCTCGTGACAATTTACAACACTGATTTATCTTCTTTTTTTTTTTTAAAGAATACCTTTCTGAATGTGTCGGATTTTCAGGATGACAGTTTTGTTTTGTCTGACTCATTCATTCGGTGTGCTCGGTCGGCTGTTTTCCTGCCGAGCCCCCTGTGACTGGCCCCTGGCCGGGAGCCAGAGCCCAGGAATGAGTGAGAATGTGAATCCTGGCCTCAAAGAGCCCAGTCTGACAGAGACCGCAGGAACCTCCTTACTGCTTAGGGCCCGCCAGGTCCTGCCGGCCAGCTCCTTACACATACATACATAGTGAGGCACGTTGTAGAGGTGGGAAAGGTGAGTTGCAGAGAGGTGGTGTCGTTGCTCTGGGTCACACAGCTAGCAAGTAAGTGGTGCAGCCCGGTCCCCAGTGTCTGGAGTTCCACTGGAGTGGGCATCGCAGGGAGCCGTGGGGTGGCCCGCTGCAGCAGCACCCGCCCCCAGCCTGCCTGGTGGTGCGCAACCTGGCATTGAGGAGGAGGAGGAAGGCCTGGCTTAGGAACGCACCCAAACATACCAAGTAGGGAAATAAATCAAAGTTGCCGACAAGGTAACATGCTGTAGTCCCGTTTATATTCGTGAGCAGTTTGTACCTGTGTCACCAAAACATCATCAAAGGGTGGTGAGAGGAGAAACCTTAATACTGAAGAATTTTTATTAACGTGGCGAATACTGTTGCTAAAACAGTACATAGATAAAACTTTTACATGTGGAAATACATGAAAAAGTCAAAAAGGAAAAATACCGGAATAGTGTAAGTGGCTACAGTTAGGCAATAGCGTTCTGGAAACTTGCAGCTCTGTGCTTGTAATTTCCTCGATTCTGTATTATGTTTATAGTTGTGGGTTTTTGAATTGTGGATTAGTTGGGACATCCTTTCCTTATGTAACTGAGGCATAAAATCGTGGGTTGTAACGTGGGTGCCTTCCAGGCTCCCAGCTTATCTGGGCTTACACATGCACCCAGATCAGCCCCTGAGCTCCCCTGGCCCGGGCGCCCGCGTTGGGTGCTAGGTCGGCTCTCCTCCAGGGGGCCGACGGGAGGAGGCTGCGCTTCCCCACCTCCCCTCCCCTCCCCTCGGTGACCCCCCTCTTTGTGGTTGCTCCCCGCAGTGGCACTACGGAAGACGGAAACCAGCCATCATCTCTCCCTAGACAAAGCCAACATCCCACCTGAAATCGTCCAGAAGTCGTCACAGCTGGCAGACTTGCCGCAGAAGCCACCGCCGGGGGACCTGCCCCCGAAGCCCGCCGACCTGGCCCCCAAACCCCAAATGGGAGATGTGCCGCCGAAGCCGGGAGAGCTGCCCCCCAAGCCGCAGCTGGGCGACCTGCCGCCCAAGCCCCAGCTCTCGGACTTACCCCCCAAGCCGCAGATGAAGGACCTGCCTCCCAAGCCTCAGCTGACCGACCTGCTGGCGAAATCCCAGCCGGGAGACATCTCGCCCAGGGCGCAGCCGCCCTGCGACGTGGCCCTGAAGTCGCACCCAGCGGATCTGTCCCCGAATGTGCCCCCCCGAGACGCCATCCAAAAGCAAGCCTCCGAGGACGCCAACGACCTGACGCCCCCTCTGCCGGAGACGCCCGTCCCGCTGCCCAGGAAGATCAACACGGTGGGTGGGCAGGCGCCAGGGTGCTTGTGGGCTCTTGTGGACTCTGCCCCGCTCTGAAACCTGGGCTGGGGGGTATGCGGGGGGGGGGGGGGGGGGCAGGGGGGAGTGGACAGGTCATACAAAAAACGCAGGAGCTTGCTCACCTGACGGCTCGGGGTCCCTGGGGTGCCGGAGCAGGGCCTGCCTGTCAGGACCCGCCCGCAGTGCCCACTGTAACTGTGACCTTGGCCAGTTGCTCACCTTCTCTGAGCCTCAGTTTCCTTGTGGACAGAGAAGGGGCTGATACCAGAACCGGGTTCATGGGTCATTAAACACACTTAGCTGGCACCTAGGAAACACCCAGCAGTGGGCGCTTGGATCCCGGAAGCCAGAGGACGAGACTGCCTTCCCCGGTCATAGGAGAGCAGCCCCCTCCCCTCCCTGGGCCCGGGAACCTCAGCCTCGGTGCGCCCACCGCCTCCTGCAGGGACCCGGGGCAAAGCCTGTGGGGATGCACACGGACGTTGGGATTGGGCTGAAGTCTCATGTTACATGGTTTTTGTGAAATGCTTTCTGCTCTTTAATACAGCAACTGCATTTTGATATAAAAATGCTCTTTTCCCTAAAATCTTTTTTTGGGGGAAAGTGGGGCTCTAGGAAGGTGCGAGTGTGCTGTCTGTCCTGCTCAGAGCTGCACCCCAACAGGCCCCCCATTGAGGAGCACAGGTCCTGGGGGGGTGCACACTGAGGGAGCTGGACCTAAAAGCCTCCCACAGTGCATGCCAGCCCTGCCCCCACCCACGGCACTCTGGGAAACAGCGCTGTGATGCAAGGGCTGCTTTGGTCCTGAAGCGGGGGGACCGAACCCCGTGCTGCCCCGGCGTAGAGACGACATGTCCATGTGGCGGGCACCTCTGCTCTTCACGAGGGCAGCTCCCGGGCCCTCGGGTGCCACCGTGGCCTTGACGGGTGCAGACCCCAGACGCTCTGTGATCTCACAGAGCCCTCCCATTGTAAGCGGTCACTGGGGGCTTCTCGGCGGCTAGCTGAGCCGGCACTGCAAGGACATGTCTGCCACCGGCTCCACAGCCCCCCCCCGACCAGCCTGGGGACAAGCTGCGGCCCGGGGCCAGGGCATCAGGGCCGCCGAGGGACCAAGAGGAAAAGTTGCTGGACCCAGAATACTCAGAGCTGTGGCTTGCTCTTCTTATTACTGGTGTTTACCGAGCTGGGTGCCCAGAACGGCCTCTAGAAGGTCATTTCCCTGTTTCCATCTTCCTGTTTGCAAAGCACTAGCAGTTCAACAAATGAGAGCCCATGTCACATTGGTCAAGATTCAAAACTTTCAGGGGGAACTGCTTAGCGCCCTGCCCCCCAACCCCCCCCCCCCCCCACTAGCTGCAGGCTCACTTTACACCACCACATTTCCCAAACCCATCTTCAGCCTCCGCTGCCCTCTCTGCCAGTGGCTGTCGGGGCTGGGGGGTGGGCCCCTCGCTCTGCGTCTCCAGTGGAGCCATCTCCTCCCCGCCCCTGTCGTTTGCTTCCCCTTGAAAATAACCGGGGGGACGGGGGGGAGTGCTTGCTCCCCGAGCCGGGCTCTGCCCTGTGATGCCAGAGGAAGGGGCAGGGACAGTATATCTTGTGATGTCACAGACCACAGAGTGCGGGGCGGACGCGCTCTCCCAATCGCAGGGGGAAGCGGAGGCTGGAGGAGCTCCCGTCACTTGCCCAAGCTCGGTGCGCCCTCTCTCTCCTCCATTGCGCCCCGGCAGCTAACCCCGCCCCGTCTCTGTGCCGCAGGGGAAGAACAAGGTGCGGCGCGTGAAGACCATTTACGACTGCCAGGCGGACAATGACGACGAGCTGACCTTCATCGAGGGCGAAGTGATCGTGGTCACGGGGGAGGAGGACCAGGAGTGGTGGGTACGTACGCATGGCAGGCGGTCCCTCCCGGGGCTGTTGGGGTGTCCCCAGCACCGAGCTGCACTCCCTACACGGCGCGGAGCGGGGAGGCCGGGCCCCTGAGCGCCAGTACCCTGCCCCGGTGGCACTTCCCGGCAGCCCTTTGGCTGGGTGTTTTCGGTCACTGTCTCACCTGCTAGGTGAGCAGCCACGGAGCTTTGGAACTGGGTCAGGAGCCTTCACATTCCATGTGCTTTACCCCCGCCCTCCTCGTCACACCGCAGCCTGTGAGCCAGAGGTGTTTTCTGGATTTCGGGTGCGAAGTCAAGGCGTCAGAAAGCACGTTGCCCGAGGCACACAGCTAGTCAGCAGGCAGTCTGGTCCCCAAGGCTGTGTGCCCGTTGCCATCTGCGCTGCCCCAGGCCAGGGGGCTAGGGGGCCAGGGGGTCCGGGCTCCCAGCCCGGGCTCCATCTCCCATCCGCATGCAGGCCTCTGTCTGTCCAGTGGGGCACCACCGTGCCTTCCTGCTCGATTTTAGGACAACATCCCTCAAGAATATCTATTAAAAACTTCTCTGTGAAAGCCCGGGTCTCAGCAAGGGAAGGCGTCACTGTCTCACTCAGTGGCCGTTTGGGCATCAGGGGCCCTTGGCGATGCCCAGCGGGAGCCAGCCCTGCCTGCCAGGAGGGGCCCGTGGTTCACAGCTGGGCCAGCGGGACCCGTCGATGCTCAGAACCACAAGTGCACACGCGTGCACCTCCGGCCTGTGTCCTCTGGGCCTGGACAGCGGTTGGTCCTTGATCACCGCTGTCTGGTTTTGCTCGGACTGAAACAGAGGTTCGCAGGTGGGGCAGTTTGTCCTCCAGGGACATTTGGTGCCACGAGAGGCGTTCCGATGGGCAGCACCTGGGAAGCTGGAAGGCGAAGCTGCCGCTGGACGTGCTGCTGTGTCGGGGGGCGCTGGCGGGAGCGTGGGGGTGAGGACCCCGGGGCCTCGGTGACGAGGCCGCCACGCGCTCTGCCCGGAGGGCCAAGCCTGGGCCCTTGTGGGGCGGCCGTGCGGGCACAGTGAGACCCACGCAGAAGTGCTGGCCGCCAGCGCAGGCTGCCCTCTGCCCTGTTGTCGGCGCTGGCGCTGGGCCGTGTGGCGTGGCGTCGTCCGCCCTGCAGGGCACCGCAGGCGGCGGAGGGGCACCTGCCTCCCACCCCAGCTCTGCGGGCTCGCCCGGGGCTCGGGCCGCCGGGCTTGTCCCCGGGCGGCCATCCTCAGCCTCCAGCCTGACGCCTCCCTTCCCTCCCCACAGATCGGCCACATCGAGGGGCAGCCTGAGCGGAGGGGGGTCTTCCCGGTGTCCTTCGTCCACATCCTGTCCGACTAGCGAAAAGCAGAACCTTGAGATGGTCCGCGCCCTCCAGCGAGACTGCCTCCCCGTCACCTGTGCACACGTGTACACAGCTGCCGCCGCCGCTGCCGGAGCAGACACCCCCCGGAGGGCGGTGCAGGAGTGGACTGTAGCGTCTGTTGTAAATAAATACCCTGTTGTTTTCTGCCTTTGCCAGTATTAGGGGGGCCTGGGACCCGGCGCGCCGTCCTGGTTTGCCAAAGCCGTCCTTGGCGTCTAGCACTTACGTCTCTGTCTACGCTGTTTCCGAGCAGACGGGAACAGAGGAGCGGCTGGCTTTGCAGACACGAGTGGTCTCAGCAGCCGTCGGGAGGCGTCAAACGGACTCTCCGGCCCGCACCTCACAGTGTTCTGAGTCCTGTTACTGAAATGCGACGTGAGCAAAGGGGCGGGTTCTGTTTTCCAGGCGGAGCTCCCGGCTCCGCGACAGGCCGGCCCGTGGTTGTCCGCGCGCACCATGTATCGCTCCCCGCGCCGACGCCGGTATTTATTACGGGAAAGTGCTCGGTGAAACCCAAGTGTTACTCCTTCCGCAGAGTCATCGCCAACCCCAAAACCTCGGGTCACATTTTACTGTGCCCACAGCCTCTTGCAAGTCTAGACAAGTGGACTTATGCTGTCTTCTGAGGAGTGCCCGCCCCTGAGATTTTACCTCATTATGCAAAAATAACATAGCCTTCATGACTATTTTGACTAAAGTTTAAAACCCCTTGAGTGAAGTTCAACTGTCAGGAACCAAGGACTGCCAGGAAATACTAGCCTCTACCTTATGCATGTGTTTAGAAGCTCACCTGAAATCTGCCTTTTATAAAGGAACCGTATGGGTCAGTTGAACTGTACATTTTTTAAACCGGATTGCCATTAAAGCAGAAATTATAAGGTTGCAACAATACTTGTTTCTAGTCAGTCCTTTGGCTTTCTCAAGAGTATGGATTTACATATCACATTAAGAATTAGCATCCTTCAAATGTGTTAAAGCATCTCATGCGTCAGTTTTAAGTTATTTTCATAGTTCTGTTCTGGACACATTTAAACACTTAGGAAATGACTCGACAGGATGACGGATTTAAAAGCCAGCCCGGCACACAGCTCCCCGACGGTAGGACCCAGGTGCTGAATGAAACCAGCCTCTTTTTTCCCCCACTCTTTTTTTAAACCCGGTGGTAGGTAAGTTTTCCAGTCTCCAGCTCTGTGCAGTAGACGCGTTACCTTCGAGTCGGTTCATTACCAAGGTTCCAAACGCTGCTGTGAATTGCACTGTGAAAAAGCTCTTCCCAAGACGAGTCCCCTTCTTGGTTTTCTCTTCACCCCAGTGTGTCTATCGGACCACGAGCACGCCGTGCCTATTTCGGCCCTTTGCGTGAGTCGGAACTTTGAAAAGAACCCGTTCGGTTCCCTCCCCCACCGCTGGGACTGCGCTCTGATTCCGAGGCTCATGTGTCAGTCTGGCATTATGTTTGCTTAAACCGCTTCGTTGGCAGCCGCACAGAAAACTAATATTTTTCAGCAGATAATCTTGGCAATGAGTGAGCCTCGTTCATTTCACAGAAGCACAACTCCCCACCCGAGCCCTTAGGGAAAACCGTCACTTCTAGAGTCGCAGCGCCCAGTGCATATTAATTTGGTTCTGCGTGAGTGGTGACCGTGAGAACTCGGGGTGCCCACCTAGTTAACCACCCTTGCATGGCAGACCCGCCGCGCCGTATCTTCTCAGCTGTTAGTGGACAGTGACCGGGCAGTTGCTCCCGCGGCCTCGCAGCACAGGTGACTCCCCACAGCAAGAACGGCGGGGGCCGGCCGGCGTGCTGGTGCGTGGTGGGCCGGCCGGCCCCGTCTGCAGCCTCAGGACTCCCGCCGCACGGGTGTCAGGACAGGAAGTCTCCGTCCTTAGTTCCTCAGTGTCCTGGTCCATTCAGTGACGTCTTTTGAGTTGCATTTAAAACCGATTCACTTCTGCAGCCTACGGTATTGTCAGCTGATCTCCAAATAAACTGGTTTCTACAAAATCCCAGAAACTACATGTCTGAAACCACATGGAATCAGTGTCTGTTCTTTATCCCTTTTTGCAGCCACTTAAACGCATTTTTTTAATACTTTTTTTTTTTCGGGTTTTGTCTTTGTTTTCCATCAGTAATCTGAGTTTTCGCTTAACCCAGCTGACTGTGGGACATAGCAAAACTGGGTATAAATACCTTTGCTGATCTTGGTTGAGTTGAAATCTGATATTGTTCTTAAACTCAGTGAGCCACTATCTGCAATTTTTGTACATGATATAGTATTTTGAAGGTATGGAACTTTATGAAAAAAATAGCTAATTAGTTCTTTTTTTTTCCCTCAGAGGGGAAAGGTATGTTCTGCAAATAGTGTGTGTCTTATTTTACTGTTGAACAGCAATTGCTATTTATTTTTTTATTGCCTAGAACTTTACCCTGTTGTATAGGAATCCCGTACATACACCACTAGCTAAATTCCGAATTCTCATCTGGATGTTACGCTCCAACATCAGTACACTCGTCATTTCACATGTATTTAATGTGACAGTTTTTTCAGTACTGTATGTGTTAATTTCTACTTTTTTTAATATTTAAAATTGCTTTTAAATAAACATATTCTCAGTTGATCCCAAACACCTGAGATCAGGCCGTTTTGTGAGTCGTCCTCTCCCCTTCCATTTGGAGAGCATCGCGACGCCCCCGGCTGCGCTTCCGAGGGTAGAGATGGCGCGCGTCGCCGCGACCCCCGTGCACAGCACAGTCGGGATGTGCATGTGCGCGGTGGTTCCCTTCGCTTCCAAAACACGGCCCTCGGCCTTGCGGCCCGCCCCATTCCCACTCCTGCCGCCACGCCACCTGCGTCTGGCCCACGTATGTGGGCGGGGCCGGAAGAATAGGGCGGGGTGCGCAGGCACGTGGGAGGGGCTCTCGGGCAACGCCAGGCTCCGACCACGTGCTGGGCGTGTGTGTGTCGCGTGGCTGTTCCCGTGGTGCTGCCCTGCAGCGAGCAGACCCGGGCCAGGGTCTGCCTGCGTCAGCTCATCCTCTCCAAGCCGGCGAGAGGCAGCGAGCCCTCCGCTGCCCAGAGCTTGAAAATGAGGCTCAGACCCGTTCCCATGCCGGAGATGTGGTTCGTACACGGCCCAGTCAGGAGTCCAGACGAGTGGTTCTGACTCCAAGGCCACCGCGGGGGTGCCCACTGCACGGAAGACAGTCCCCAGCACAAGGTTCCAGCCTTTGAGACACTGCGAGAGAAACAAGGTGAAAAGCTGACCGAGACAACAGCATCGAAGATTCTGACGGGTTGGTCTCCTGTTTCCTTGCGACGAGGTGGGCCCGTGGGAATGCCTGTTCGCCCGCCGAGGCAGGACCAACCCTCCCGATGGCCGCCAGAGGTGGGCTCGTGCGTGGGAACTGTGACTCGTTCGGGGTGCTTCTGGGAGAGGCTGACGTAGCGACCCGCCTCACTCAGGCAAGGGGCAGCCAGCCTTCCATCTGAAATCATGAACGAATACGACATCGGCGTTGCTTTAAACTGGGGACAGGGTCTGCTGGAAATTAATGGACTCGCCCTCCCCCCACCCCCCACTGGAAGCAGCTCTTCCAGAACTCAGGACCCCAGCAGGCGTCCGCCCGATCCCTGGCTCAGCCCTGCCGGGGACAGGCCTGTATTTCCAATAGGGACTTTCCGTCCTCTGTGAGGTGAAAGTCCCCCTGGGGTGCATGCTCCAGCGAGGAAATCGCTCTCTGAGCTGGAGGGACCTACCCCAGGTCACCATAAGTCATGGCGGCAGTGTGAGCCCAAGCCTCCCCTTCTGCCCTCTCTCCCCACCCCTGCTGCTTTCTCCCCTTCCCTGACGCTGCATCCCCCTCCTCCACTCCCACCTTGCAGGCGGACGCATGGCAGGGTGGGTGGGTGGCAGTGGTGCTAATCGTTAGCACAGTTCCACCTATTGCCGCCACCTTCGCGTCCTCATCAGTCATGAATGACCACCTCGTTTCCAGAACCTGCGGTAGGTGGGCACTTCGGAGCCCGTGGGCTCGCCTTTTGCGCGGGGGTGCCTGACGGAGGGCGCGCCCCCGCACCCCAGGGATGGATGGAACAGATGTGTTCGGCCGGCCCTCCGCTTGCAGCCTGCCCTCTGCAGCCCGCAGCCTGGGGTGAGGGTGAGGTCAGCGCAAGCGTGTTACATAACCCTAAACGTTCTCTGAAGACAGAGCCAGGCCTGTGGTTGCGAAGACGGGCCCCCCACTCTGTCCCTGAGGAGGTCGCAGGCTGAGTAGCATGGCTGTGGGGCTCGCCTGGCGGGAGGAAAGGGCTTGCGGCACGTTCACGTTCGTGGACAACACTATGCAGTAGAGCTCTCGTCTCCCCCACTTCCCAGTCTGGGGGACAGGGGCTCAGAGAAGGTACGAGGTAACTTGCCACAAGTCAAGTTGCTCGTGAAGGGCCAAGCCCGGACGTGAACACTGAGGTCAGGGCCCAAGTGGCTCCCAGCCATGACCCTGGGCTGCCCCAGCTGCTGCTGTGTTCCCTGCTGCCCTTTCCGAAGAGAAACTGGGTCAAGGCCTCCTACAGCCAGGTCAGCCGGCTAGGGAGTGTAAACCATGGAATGAGGCACTGGCCAGCAGGGCCTGCCGGAGTGCGTCCTGGACACACTGCTCGGCCTCCCAGGTGGGGGGCGGGGGGCAAGCCAGAGGTCGAGCTGGCTCCCGGCGTCTGCAGCTGCCTGCAGAATGTGACCAGGAGGGAGCAGTGGGCAAGTGAGGTCCGTCAGACGCTTAAGCCCCTGAAAACAGGAATTGAAGCTCAGATAAACACAGCTGTTTTGCAAACATCTTGCCACACAGCACACCCGAGCCAGAGGCTCCAAGCCCAAACCGGTGACCTTCTGCAAAACCGCCAAGGGGACAAACCTCGTTCGGCTTCCCACTTCTGGGGACAGAATTTAAAACGTTGCTTTATAGGTCCGAGCAGATTGGAGGACGAGAGGTGGCAAACCTGCCATCTGCACACTGGCCTGAAACCACATGAGGGCCAGGCTTTCTGCTTTGGGCCGCATCATTTGGGTCCTCGATGTTAAAACCAAATTCCCAGGCCCTGTCCCTGGAGTCTCAGGGGGGCCTAAGAATCTGCATTTGGTCATTCCCAGGTGAATCCCATGCAACGCCGGAGGCGCAGGTCTGTCTTGGACCACTGCTCAGCTCCTAAGAATGTAGAATTGACCCAAAAAGGTGGGTCACCCAGAGTCCAGGACCTCTGCACAGCAGCCCCTTCTAATAATGGTGAGACCCCTCCTTAGGGCTCAGCCCCTGCACACCTCCAACTGTCATTTTCTTGCTGTCAGGGTGCAATGACTAAGACTCAGGATTCGGAGTTTGGCAGAACTAGCCCACCCCTGCCTGCACCACTTACCAGCAAATGTGTCCAGCAGACAGGTATTGAGAGGCCTTCATAGGAACGGCCCCTCCCCGTGTGACCTGGGGCCACTGCTAAACTCCACGAGCCTCCAGCTTCCTTGCAGGCACCACGGAGTTCGGACTGCGGCCTTGCAGACACGACACGGCTCTCGCACCTGCCAGGCTCCGTGTGCCCACCCCTGAAAAGCCAGGTGTACATCTCCCTGGGCTCGGCCCCTGGTTTCCTTGGCCAGTGTGAGCCAGCCTGCAGGGTCCAGGGTCCCCATCATCCAAGGCACAGCTTCTGCCCATCCCTAAAGGTGTCAACCGTGGGGCCTGGCTTGGCCAGTCATGGCCATTTGTTCCCCGGGCCCAGAGGACAGGATGGGGGGAGGTGGAGTCAAGCTTGGGAACCAGAAAAACAGGGACACGGATCCTCCATCTCTTCAGGCCTCAGTGTCTTCCTCTGCCCAAGTGGGATGATGGTAGTACTGATGCC